CACAGCCAAGTAATGATAACAAAACAAAGGTCGGGGGTCATTGGTCAAGCAACACACCAATCAGAGAGCAGCAGTGAGCACAGCTCAGGCTGTGTTTTATATTTGTATTCTTTATTTCTGACGTATTTCACACAAAAAACCTTTAGTGGAAACGTTTTCACTTATATGATTTTTTTTTTTAAACGGCAAAGTGGCTAGGCTTGCCCACCCTGCGTTGGGGGGGCACAGTGACTCATTTGGGGGGGCATGGCCCGCGAATGACCCCCCATGACGCCGACCCTGCACATAATTTTACAGCATATTGCTATACTATTTCAGACTCAGTATTTACATTCTTACATTCAAAATGCAATCCAATTCAAATCAGTAATATCTTTAAAAACTACAAGTCCTTTTATATAAACTGTGCACCGTTATGGTGTAAATATAACCTATCTATGAATTATATCAAATGTAAAAGTCAGCCGAATTAGTGTTGATACTGCAAGGAGACGTATTGTGTGAAGAGAAATTGAAGATGTTGTTTAATTGTTGAAATATTTATGATCCACGTCAAGTATTCAGTTTCGGCGGAATTTCTTCAGTTTTTCCAAAGGTCTTCTCATCAGGGCTCTATAAATAAAGAACTACGGCAGATCTGTAATATACAATGCAGCCGAACCGTGTATTACAATGCCGTTATGTGATGACTTTCAAAGAGAAAAGCAAGAGCACTCGGAATTAAGTATTATTTTATTATTTTAAAATGTTCTCCGGATTTCATATAATATAAACACCAAATCCCAGCATGCATTGCGGATAAAACATCCAATCAGCGTAGCTGAGGATCTTGGGTAATCGCTCGAAATGCCTACGTCTGTTTCCGGTTATTTTTATTTTGAAATTCAGTTCCTGGCGAACGCCAAAAAAGCCCGAGATTATGGAATTAAACCAATAAATAAAAGCAAGGATAATTGTGTGTTATTGGTGAGTAAATAACAGTGTGCTATTTTGAAAAGAATAACAAATTAGAAGGAAAAAAAGATTTAAAAAATACGAGGCTCTGAGCCCCATTTATTTTCCTCACAGACGGCAACACTAAAGGTCTAAAATAAAGACCTAAATAAATATTTGGGATGTTCTTGTCTTTAGATTCTCCCAATAAGTCCAAGTACAGAGGGTGACTTTGCTGTGAAAAAACACATTTCCACCAAAAAAACGTCAGCAACCATGAATGTGTACGCATTCATGAAGTAATCTTCGTCATAACTAGCAAACTAAACATCATGTACATGTACTGCACAAATAATCAGAAATACAAATTCATTACTCGCATAAAATGACATCAAAACGCATTTTAATGGCCAAATGAACCTTAAAATAGGCCTTTTCCACCGAGAATAACACGAAGGTCGGCCATTGTTGTTGATCACGTGGTCTGGGAGCTGTTGCAGCGTCCATAGCAACCACCTTAGCAACCATGAATGTGTACACATTCATGAAGTAATCTTCGTCATAACTAGCAAACTAAACATCATGTACATGTACTGCACAAATAATCAGAAATAACAACTCATATTAATTGCATAAAATGACATCAAAACGCATTTTATTGGCCAAATGAACCTTAAAATAGGCCTTTTCCACCGAGAATAACACGAAGGTCGGTCATTGTTGTTGATCACGTGGTCTGTGAAGGTCTATGGGACGCCCTGCCCGTAGAAGCCTGACGGGCAAGGGGTTCCCTGTACGTCATATAGCGACGGGGAGGGGCCCTGACCGTCCGTCAATATGTGACGGGATGGGAGTGAGAACGTGTTGCACACACACACACACACACACACACACACACACACACACACACACACACACACACACACACACACACACACACACACACACACACACACACAACACACACACACACACACACACACACACACACACACACACACACACACACACACACACACACACACACACACACACACCACACACACACACACACACACACACACACACACACACACACACACACACACACCATTTGGATTGTATTATTGTATGAGAGAGGTTCCAGGTTGAATTGAGGCGAATATTTGTAAAGTTCAGAGGTTGTTGTGTTTAATATTCATGAGAATATTTGTCATTGTTCAAATGATAATAAACATTAGCATAAAGCATATTTGTCCACTCATATGTTGATAAGAGTATTAAAAACTTGAAAAATATTCCTCTAAGGTACATTTAGAACAGATACAAAATTTGTGATTAATTTGCGATTAACTATGGACAATCATGCGATTAATCGCGATTAAATATTTTAATCGACTTACAGCCCTAATAAAAAGGTTTCAATAGTATAGATTGTGCAGAAGTTCATCCACATGAGAGGGAGCCAAGATATAAACAAAATGTACTAAACTCTTATTAGGTAACTATGGGACAATGCCTGTAAAAATGGCTAGACAATCTATATACACTGCATGGTTTACACTTTATTTAAATGCCTACATGTAAGTCCATGTCAAATAAATCAATAAACAGGTGAAGCCTGAAGTTTTCCAATTATTTTGTTTACAACCTATCTTACCAGAACTTGCTATGATCTACCATTATTCACACACAGCTGATAACCGAGGTTAATGATCTAAGTCAAAGAGATTGCCTCTGGAGCCGGCATGCAAAAAAACCAGTCATGATGGCAGTGGAAGACCCATCATTTGCCTTTGTCCCTCTTTTCTTGTTATGCTTGTTTTGACAGCATTATGAGTTACATTTTTTAAAGGTCAAACAGTGTTCATCTTTAATACAGTTTCTGATAGTTATCAACATCACAGGGTGTATCAACATGTGTCTGAAATAGTTCATAGAAACATATATCTACTCCAAGAATCCCAAAACAAATGAGTCTTTATCCTACACAAGCACAAGAGGAGGGTGACTAATCATGCTGATTTTAAGGATCAGCATCAAATCTTTTTGGATGTTGAACACTTTGGTACTTGAGATACAAAAGATTTGTGTTTGTTCTCACCAAAATTAAATGTTGTCTGTCAGCTTAATATAATAAAAGATAACATATGATATATAGGTTGAATTTGACAGCAGAGGAACACTTACATTTGCATCATAAAATATTTACAGCAGGGTTCCTAAAAAATAAATACAAATGGGGACGTGAGGGATGATTTATTGAGTCTCTCCGTATCTGAACACATAAAAAGTTTCAGTTTAGAGAACTGAGTATGAAATATTACCTTTGAGTCCATCATTTTATAATTGGTCATATTTTGTCTTTTCCCATCATCAGAAATGATCCACAGCTGAGGCTATTGGGAATTTGATCACTAGTTTTAAAGACATTCTCAATCAACAAAAGTGATGGACCAGTTTTGGATATGATCAGGACTGGAAAACAAATGTAGGGATCGCCGTCTCCTCTGGAGATGTCGAATATGCAGATTTCAATTGTATGTCAATTCATTCAACACTTTTTTAAGCGCTGGAATTGCACCTGACCACAGCCATTGTTTGAGTCACATCACTGCATAATAAACCATAATAATAAATAATAAACCATATAGCATTAAACTTGAACTCATTCTAATTCATTGCCAGCATGGTATTATAATTTGTTTCCAACAACGGCAAGGCTTCATAAGTTTGAAGAAAACATAACTGTCTCCTCTGTTTCAAGATCATAAATGCTTCATTTCCATATCCTCTTTCTAACGTTCACTTAAATACTAAATTTTATAGTCTGTTCTTAGATTCCTTTAGGGTGTATTCAGTATTGGCCATTTACCTCCCAATAGTTGTAATTATGGTCAAGAATGTAATGGTACAGTTATACCACATTAGGGTTTGTGGTAAACCAATAGATAACTGCCTTTTGGGCACTTGCTTCAAGGGTTATGCTTTTTTTGTTACCACAAGGAGGTAAGTGTGCATATACTGTAAGTAAGCAGGTGCATGTGTGGAAGTGACTGCTGCTGCTGCATGCATGCACTCAGAAATATGTTTGACAAACTGCAGAAGATCTCTTATATAATGGCAAAGTGCTTCAGTACATTTGCGGAATAAATACGGAATTTATATGCATGCTCTTCTTGTCTCTCTGCATGCATACACGCACGCACGCACGCACGCGCACACACACACACACACACACACACACACACACACACACACACACACACACACACACACACACACACACACACACACACACACACACACACACACACACACACACACACCACACACACACACACACACACACACACACACACCACACACACACACACACACAATGTATTTCTTATCATCTCATCGAGTCCCTCCCTCCCCATATGATTACTCAAATTGTACTAACAAAACATAATGTTACCTGCTTTTGATTATGACAAAGCCCTTCTCTTGAAGTCCAATACAATAGCATAATGATCCCATTACTGTATTTACTGTGGTGGTTAGCAACTGTACGCCCACATGCTCAGTGTCTGCATTGTCTCACCCACTCACTAGGTGCTGGTGGGAAGGTAGAGATACAGTTTTGAGTAGATCATGCAATAATGCTGCACAGGCATAAAGCATCTCTGACTTTCACACACACATACATTTACACACATACACACACTGCAACAATATGATCACAGTCATTTGCTGCTGGAATGTTACCAGGGGAAAAAAAACTCCAGTTACAACTTCCCATGAATATTAAAATGACAGAGGTGGTACATTTAATAAGCCCCAGTGCAGTAAATAAAAAAGGTATTTTACATTAATGACAAAAAGGAAATAGTGTGCAAGCAATGCAAGTCTGAGGATGTCTACAAGTGTCCACCTCCACCCCACATGACAATTAACTGCGCTATTGACCAAGTTCTTGAATGAAGTGCTTCATGGATGGCACACCACCACCTATTAATATATGGACCCACACGCCCATTTAAACGCTTATACTAAAGACACAGGCCTGCGTCTGTAAGGGGAGATAACCCTCTTTACCGTCTCACCTGCTCGTTCGCTGCCAGCTCTTTCTCCAGCTGTCGGTGTTTGTTGTGCCACACCAAATAGTGGATAGGAAAACGACTCTTCTCCGGAGTTTTCTTTGAAGAAATCATCCTCTGATCATAGTTTGCCTCCTCCTGTGTCTTCTAGATTTGAGCTATACTTTGTTAATATGTATGCTATTTAATCAAACATATCATCCTTTATCGGCGCTGGTGCCCAACGGCAGCCTTACGCGTCAGAAACAGTGAATGACTCCCGGCTTGCTCTGCTAAGAATAAACAGCAAAGCCCCGTGAAAAACATTTGTGGAAATAACCCCGTCGTTTAGCTGTCTCTGTAGATTAGGCTACACCTTTATGTCTTAACCACCCGTTCACCCACCTCTTGCCTCCCTCTCTCTTTCTCCCCTGCCTACTCCAACACATCTATTCTCCTCCTCTCCTCCCATCCGGTGGTGACTGAGAAAGCTGCTGACAAGCTGCAATGAAATGTGCGCAAACTCAGCCAATCCGCTGTCAGGGATGTTGTGATAAAACATATGTTTAGTGTTAAAGAAACGCAGAAATTATACACACATTATTGAAAGGTAGATACCTAGTATACCCCCTATAGTAATCCCAAAGTAGTGATATACTAAAAGGTATAACGAGTAGCTGGACTGCAAATGAAAATGCATCAATTACAAGTCTAAATCAAACATATTCCTTGATGCTGCAGGATTCGTTTTATGTATAAAATATTGTAGGCCTACTATTTATAGCTGTTTTCTTTCATTCACATCTACACCTTGCCTTTGATTGTCTAGATGCCATGTTGAATGGAATCTGTGTTTTAAATGTTTTGTTTGTGTTTGTACTGTGCTGATACTCTATGGTACAACAAATAAAATAAAAATGGTCTACATATTCATACTGAATATATTTTTTTATCTGGTAGCTACCAAATCCACAAATGAGCTTATCCTTTTTTGTGAAATAATACAATCAATACATGTTTTGTTCAAGGGAAATGTCAGTTATAAGGTTTCAAAAGGGATCAGATACTTTCACATTGTGATTATTTGCTTCTTTGTGGAAAAAGGCTAATGCAGATCCAAAATTCAGTAAATATGAACCAATAAGACAATAAAGTCTATATAAATATATGCCTGATACATAGGCTACATTAAAACACAACTCAGCTATATTAGGGTTAAAATGTAAACACATACATTAAAAAACATTTAAATGCATACTCTTTTTTGATCATCTTTGTGTGAAATGCATCTCACCTTAACATAATGACAGGATGATCTTGCCCTCTCCCCTCCCCAGCCCCTTCCATAGGTAGGCTGCTGCTGTAGTGTGTGTGTGTGCGGAAACTGACAGGTAGAGAGCTGCCGTCTCCCGGTGAGTTGCAGGCAATGCAACGAACATATTTAGTAAATATTCCGATATGAGCTTCATACGAACAGCCATATTAAATATGTTTGCATAATTTAGCTCCAGATTTGAGTTCAGAAGTGGACGTGGGCGAAGAGACCGCAGGAACAAACGGGAAATCCAACTGTCAGCTGGCCGGGAAAACCGATCACATCACCCGGCTTCCGGGGATTCAGGGGCCGCATCGGTTGACGGCAGACGTCGGTCGGTAGCTCGGGGGAGTACGGGCGAACATCCACATCATCGCCAGTATCCACCTCTGATTTTCAGCGATTTTCAAGATGTCAAGAAAGCTACAAAGGACAGAAGTCTGCGCCGACTGCAGTGCGCCAGGTAAGAAGGGGGGAAATAAATAAAAACTAGACCACTAACATATGTGGAACAATACGTCGGGAGGGCGATATGATGGGACAACAGGGCCGAAGCTGCTGTCACTGTCAGCGGGTCCGCGGAGCAGGAAAGCGGCTAGGGCTTTCGGGAGTCGCTTAGGCCCAAAATAAACAGTGAAAATAGGCGTGTTGTCACAATGGGAACATCTTTGGCTAATAGTGGCTCAGCGTTCATTGAGAAGCTAAATATCTATATTGATTTGACCAAGACCATATGCAAAGCTACCAGTTTGTTTGCTGCAGTGGAAGATCTGAGTGTCCGGTTTATGAAGCCTTCCTGCTTGAACAGACGTTTGTTTTGATTTTTGTGACCGGGACAGACTTCTAAAAGCGTTAGCTTAGCCTTGCTAACGAGCAGGCTATTTTCAATCAATGTGCTGCAGACTTCTACAAAGCATTTTGTATACCCCCGGAATAGAACCACACATTATCATTACTACATTTCAAAACCACTTTGTTATTTTTGGTCCTTGTCTTTGGTGTTTTTTAGAGGGTGTACCTAGCTACAGTTGCTAGCTTAGCTAGCTAGTCTAGCTAACTTTGGCTAAACGGCAAGTTATTGCTAACGCTTCACACACATCTATTCCTTTTGACGGAATCTGACATTCGTTATTCATAGTTGACGTAGACTGCTGAAAAGCCCTGAAAAACATACATACTTAAGTGAACGTGTTTAATGTAACGTTATTTTATATTAATTAATTTGGTTGTACAATGTTTATTCTCCTTTCAGTTTACAACTAACATTTTCACTAACGAAGGGGGAATTTAACGCAACAGGAGGAAACTCCATTGAATTCAACGTGAATTGGAATATTATAATTATTTTTGAAACTAATTAATATGTTGTGTATATGTTACTGTATAACATGTTTAACCACTGTATTTGTAGGTTTTCTTTACTCCTTTGCCCCCATATTGCGTAGAGATGATATCGGTTTCCCCTCCGTTGCCTCTAGCTGGCAAATGTAGCCTCACATGCCCTCATGCCTAGTTTGAAGCACTTCATTATTTGTGTGTGAGTTGCTTGCATTCAGTCATGTGTACATGCATTACAACAACTGCCCTCTTCACAGCTGCTCCCCCCTGATAGCAGTGTGTGTAAAACTGTCATAAGCTTTAGGGCCTTACTCACTGTAAGTATGTTGTACTCACTCACTTACTTTTCTCACTGCTCCAAATCTGACTACACCAAGCCTCTGTTTTACAACATGAACCTTTTTCCTGCCACTACCATATACTTAACCCCCTGCTGTCTTCCCTCCTGCCTCATCAAGTGCATTTCCTGCCTCAAACTGACCAGCGCTAACCAACCACAGTTCAACACTTTTTTTTAAACGCTATTGCAATATACAAACAGTCTAATGTGTGAGGTCCCTGCCAAATAAACCCTGTAGGCAGAGATTTGTGTGTATCTTGTAGGGGTTGTCTCTTGACATGTATTTCCTTTCAAATGTTTCATAATTGTGGTGAGCTTTTTTCTGTTGGTGTATGCTACCTGTTTCTAGCTTTACATTTCTTCTACTGCTGCTATTCACATATAGCCCCTCCTTATGACGACATGCACACACACGCAGTGCGTTCTGCAAAGTGCTGACCTAGCCACGGGTGACAGGACACCTCCCTACAACCCAGCTTTGTGTCATACTAAGGGATAACTCAATGGCATAGCTTGAAAGGATAACTGATCCTCACTGTCCAAGCCAAGCCTCAGGAGGCTTTATGTCATGCCATGGCAATCTGCACGGATTATAGCAACAATGAATCATGTTGTCATGATAGTAAACTTTTTATTGAGCACAGATCCATAAAAAATGTGGTATTGTGTAAGCGTTTAGAGCAGTTTGATAGTGGCGTCCAATTCCTTCCGATGTTTGGTCAAGTTTAAAAAGCAAACCTTTGAGGAAATAAAAACTAAGTATAAATTGCAATCAACCAAGGAGTGACTTGGACCAACAAGTTGACCTATGATGCTCCTGGATGTTTAATTCGAGTTATCAGTGTGAAATATGAATTAACCTGTACTCTTTGTTTTGGTCTAAAAACTTAACAGTAAATGCAAGCAACAGTTAGTGTTTATCCAGCAACAGTTTTCCATACTTTATACTCATTGTAATACAAGTTTAAACCGACTTAAGTGACAATTACAAAAATATAAATATGGCAAACTTGTGTTAAGGCACATTTAAGATGTAGATTTGGCTATTCCTTTAACGGCCCGTCCACACAGCGGCGTGCGTTGAAAGCTTCACCGTTCACTTTGAATGGGGTGACGTCACTTTTTGCCGAACTGCATTGTGGGAAGCGACGTGGAGCTTTGCTGGCGTGGCTCGCTGCAAAAGTTGAGCAATGTTCAACTTTTGAAGCCTCGGTAAAAGCGTCAGCCAATCGAATCATATGCCAGTACAAGCTCTAGCCAATCAAACCGCTGCTTGTGTGTCAGGGGCGGGAGATTCATGTGATTGGTTGTTGGTCGAGTGTCAGACACGCCCGCCTGCAAGCTTCAACGCACGCCGCTGTGTGGACGGGCCGTTATGGTCTATTCAGATTTGATAGCATGATGTTGTAGCCTCATGGCTCCCTTGAGCCAAACAGATAGTGTAACCTGTGGGTGTTTTTATATTTATTACACAGATTAAAGAATGAAATTGCTACAGTCATGCCTTTTATAGCCTACAGGCTACTGTTCTAAACTAGGCCGTAGCTCTTATGAAAGCCATTTTGAATTTGCTGATAATTTGTCTGCAGGCAAACAGATTTATAGCATGTCAGTTTATCTGATGATGGACTATTTTAGCTCCATTAATACCTTAAGCCCAGACTGTTGTATCTGGCCTGAGAGTGACTAATACAGATAGCCTAGTAGATGTGTGTCTACGTGAATGCATCATGTGCATGCAAGTGTGCATACATTTGATTTGATATTGCAGACTGTATTGTTTTTGAGTGGCTCATCACGTCAGCATCCTGATGACATAAACATGACCCAGAATGACTCTATGACAAGGCTGCCAGTGTCTGTAGACTGGCATTGGCCTCAACTGCTTCCCCTCCCTTCCTCACCTCATTCACAATCAACGTCTTTAGTAGAGAAAATCATTCTCCTCTTGGCATTATGCACGCCACTTCAATATTACACTGAACAAACTAAAACAAATACCAAATGTTATTATGGAAACCTCAGACTCCTGTGGAAACCTAGGTGATCTGACCTTTGGCGCAGCCAGTGAGGCACCACTGTGTTATACCAATATGCTTATGACTGAAATGTTGGGGTCTGATATTGCATGTGCGATGTGATTAACGATATTGGAGTAATTGATCATTTTTGCATAATTATTGTCATTAACATTGACACATATATTTAAAGGATCGTGGTGGGACTTTAAAAAAAGAGAGATGTGTATCTAAAAAGTCAATTTTTGCAATTCTGAAAATCTTTTAATTAATAATGCAGCCCTAATCACCAGGATAAATAATTTGTTAAAAATACAAGACGTGTCTTACCTGACCTTGATTTGTCTTTGACCTTCAGCCCTACTTCCTCCACATTGTGTTCTGCACTTTGTACACCAGTAGGGTGACTAGGTTTAGGTCATTGTTATCAGATCAGTTGAGCCCTACATTGGTAAGCCGGGCAGCCGGGGTCTGTGCAAGCATTGGTTCAGTAGTGAGCAACAACTAGTAGAGTGTACTAGGCTAAAAGGAGATAAAGTACCACCCTGTCTATTAAACATTCAGTGTGTGTATGATCCAGGTATTTGGTACTTCCACATAGCATCTTCCAACTGTAACAAATATAGATATTCAGCCTTTATTTTCTTCTTATAATCATCTTGATATATGAATGTTGATCTCTAAATACAGCGAATGACTGCTTTTGCAACATTTGATTTGTTCTCTCAATTACAACACCATTGCCAACCCAGCTGTTTGACTAATTACAAAGATGCTTGTCCTCTACTGAAATGCCAGCTTGCTTTTTTGTTCCCTATAAATATTATGGTGTGTATATATTGCACATTCATTTATGACATTTAAAAGACTTAATTGGATCACTGTGCTTAACATTTTGCCTTTAATTCAACACTTCTTATTGCAGGTTAGAGGAAGGACGACTAAAATAACTATGTTTGACTTGACCTTGAATGAGAAACAAGGACTAAATGGAGCATGTATTTGACTTGACCTTGAATGGAACGTGGGCAGTGTAGGTGGAGCAAAAATGCACCACAGTATCCTGTGGTTATAAACTATAGTTAAGGGCTCCCATCGTATACTCCTTATACATTGAGGATTTTATTGTATGCAATGCAGCCTAGACTAGATAACATTTTGTGTTGAAGAACTGAAGACTTCCTACAATGCTGAAATGTCTTAGCATCACACAGGTCTATAAAGCTTGCAATAACATTCATATCTCTCTGTTTGCCTGTCAGACCCGGGCTGGACCAGTATTAACCGAGGCGTCCTGATCTGTGATGAATGCTGTTCAGTCCACCGCAGCTTAGGCCGCCATATCTCCATAGTGAAGCACCTGAGGCACAGCGGATGGCCTCCCGCACTACTGCAGGTAAGGCTGTGAAAGAAGATTGATGGAAAGGGTAATTCAGTAAAAGCAAATGAGTCCGTGAGGCCCAGAGTACATACCTCCAAAGGTTAGGACTATTACAGAAACCTGACTCAGCACTAAGGAAGCAAATCCATTCCAGCAGGTTTTCCATCTGTGTAAAAAAAGGGTAACATTTTGGGAATTGGATTGCAAGAATATTATATGTGTATATATTGGTCTTATGCTGTGGTGAATCATCACTGAGTCACTTCTTCATTTGTGTGTTTCAGATGGTTCAGACCTTAGCCAGTAATGGGGCCAACTCAATATGGGAACACAGTCTGCTGGACCCTGCTCAGGTACAGAGTGGTCGTAGGAAACCCAACCCCCAGGACAAAGTCCAGTAAGTATACTACCCTAAAGGCTCAAAATACACACAAAAAAACCTTGGGGAAGTTATTGTCTCTGCTGCAGGACGGCTGCCTCTTTCTCGACTTAATTGGTGTTTGCGATAATTGTTTGCACAACGCTTCTCTTAATGCATTCAAAACAGTCCTGGATTCTCTTCCTGATGATATGTCTTCAGGTTTTTAGTATACCTAAATACGCGATAGGATTTGTCATTGTAGGTTTGTTATGCTTCTCCTGGGTTGAAATGTGGCTATGAGAGTGGAGGTCAAGAATTAGACCTGCAGAAAATGGATGTGCAATTTCACTAATGTCTGGAAGCATATTGTGCACAATCTCTTAACATGTACTGAATAGATACTACTTATTGCATTGCTTTTATGCTGCTGTACCCTACTTTAATAAAGGAAACGGAAACGGCCTGGCAGCCAGCCCAGGAGGGCCTATTTATTGTAAACATTATTATTTATTAACAAAGAACAACTCAATTGGAATGTGTCCATACGCACAATGCCAAACTGGATGACTGTTTTACAAAAGCGATAGCTCAGACTGTGATATGTTTAAACATTTTGACAGCAAATGGGCATTGTTTTTCCGAATGGTTGTTTATTTCTGGCCTGTTTGTGTCATGAAAAAACAACAGTGAGAATATCATATTCCTGAATAGGGATTAATAAAGTTCTTATTTTTCTCTTTTTTAAACCATATTTCCTTTTCCTCATGTGCAGTCCCACTAAGTCAGAGTTCATCAGAGCCAAATACCAGATGCTTGCCTTTGTGCACAAGCTGCCCTGCCGCGATGATGATGGCGTCACGACCAAGGACCTCAGTAAAGTGAGTGCTCAGTACTTCACTGCAGAGGGGTTGAGGATTCAGCTTAATTAGCCTGTAGGGACATTATCATAATGCTGAACTGCATAGGTAAGCACAAAGGATGTTATATTTATAGAATGCAGTGGGAGAACCCATATATAAAACAATACATTATATACACACACAAACACACACACACACACACTCGTGCACACTGTAAAACCTGGCAGGAAGTGAATGAGACAGCAGGATGTAATAATGGCCTAATCGTAATAATGCTGTAGAGCTCCACTGGGCTTCATGATGTTTAATCTTTCCACTCCGACGCTCTTTGTTTATCTCTCCTCTCTCTCTATCTTTTTGTTATTAGCAACTTCACTCAAGTGTGAGGACGGGGAGTTTAGAGACGTGTCTTCGGCTCCTGTCCCTCGGCGCTCAGGCCAACTTCTTCCACCCGGTCAGGAAAAAAACTACTTGCTGACTCACTCTATCTAGTAATTAGCCATGATGTTCTGTAACTCCCTCTCTGCCAGCCCTCCTGACTCTGTGTGTGTGTCTAACTACAGGAGAAAGGCACTACCCCGCTCCATGTGGCAGCCAAGGCAGGCCAGATCCTGCAGGCGGAGCTGCTGGTGGTGTACGGGGCCGACCCCGGAGCACCGGACATCAACGGACGCACACCTATGGACTACGCAAGGTACAAATGAGTGGGAACACACCTCAACACAGTTTGCATTCAAGCCAAAACATATACTACATTGTATACGAGTTGGAGGAAAAGCAGAAACAATAATGTAGAATTGTTTTTGTCTGTGTTCCAGGCAGGCGGGCCATATAGAGCTAGCAGAGCGGCTGGTGGAGTGTCAGTACGAACTGACGGACAGACTAGCCTTCTACCTCTGTGGGCGGCGCCCAGGTAACACACTGCACACGTTTGTGTTTCATTAAAGGCCCTTATGCATAGCTAACCTCAATTTAAAAAAAGTGGTTGTTTTTACCAAATTATAACGTTTCCTCTACTCTCCTCTCTTTTCCCCACAGATCACAAGAATGGCCATTATATAATTCCACAGATGGCAGACAGGTATGGACCATGACATTGTTTGGGTCTGCACAATTAATTGTAAATTATATTGAAATCACAATATGGACTAGGGCTGCTCAATTAATCGTATTTGAATCACAATTACTATTTTGGCTTGCAACGATTACAAAAACAACGTAATCGAAATAAAACGATTATTTTTGTATTTATTTTTTTGTATTTATTTATTTTTTTTTATTGGTTTTTCAGTTAAATTATACTTAAAGTTCAGAGTAATCAACTGTTAAAAACATACTGTTCATTTTTTTTTTTCAATAAATGGATGTTTTCATAGTAAATGGATAATCGTTTTTAATAATCGTGATATCAATTGTTGACACAAATAATCGAGATTATGATTTTTGCCATAATCGAGCAGCCCTAATATGGACTTGTAAAATATTCAAATGTCACTCTGACTGAAGTACTGTGGGTCTGCAGAAATATCCCAACCTATCAGTGGTATTCTACAGACTTAACAAAACATATGTTTGGAACAGATCCCCTTTTACAACCCACCGTGATGATTTTGATATTCTTTTCTATGACCATGCGAATTGTGATAAAAAAAAAAGATCAATTCCTTCATTACCGTGTATCACAAAGCAGTCGCAGTATCAGTAAAAAAAATGGCAATTAGTTATTTATTCCATATTGTGCTGCCCTAACATTATTGTTTTGTATCAATGTGATTCTGAGTGCTTTGCATTTGCCTGCACGGTGTGCTTTGATTGCATGAAGTATCTTTGATATTTTTCTTGAACTTTGCAGCTACCTTGCCCACACTGCTTCTTTTCACTGTCTTCCTGGCGTGGATTAATTCATTCATGAATTAAAACTCCTGCAGTTTAGTATTCTGACCAGAGGGTGTCACCATAATATATGAAACCCTTACTAAATAAGTAGTTAATTAAAGGAGGTCTCTGGCATCCCTATGAAAGCAGACGGTTTATTGCTATTGTCGATCCAAGCCATTACATGTACCTGAAATGATTTAGATACTTGGGGTGTGCTCTGTTTATTAAACAGAAACTGCAGGTTTGATTAGCATCAAGAAGTGCACAGTCAGGTTGTAATGAATCAAGTTGTGTAGCACTGCTTCTTCCACATATTTGATGAGCGCTGGGTTTTCTCAGTTGAGTCGGAGCAGTAGCTTCAAAAATACTCTTTTTTTGACCCGGTGAGGTGGTTTTCTTAGAGTATCTTTGTAATTACATTTTTTTATCATTTCATATTCCAGCTACTCCTCAAAAAACATGTTTTGGATATCATGCCATTCAAATGATACATTTACATTTGATACATTTTAAGAAATTGTAGTTTTTGTATTACCACCCCAAGTTCCATAAGTGGGTATTTTTTGACCCGGTGAGCTGGTTTTCTTAGAGTATCTTTGTAATTACATTTTTTTATCATTTCATATTCCAGCTATTCCTCAAAAAACATGTTTTGGATATCATGCCATTCAAATTTCAAATGTACATTTTAAGAAATTGTAGTTTTTGTATTACTACCCCAAGCTTCCATAAGTGGGTCAAAAATGGAATTTCGTTTTTTTTTCAAAATGTCAAAAAATGTCAAAATTATAAATAGTGAAAAATTAAATATAAAATATTTCTAGTGTGGCCAAAATATAATACTAAATATTATACAAGTGATTTTTCTGAACCAAAATAACAAAAATGGCATAAAAACACATATTATTCTAATCCGGGTCCTTTTTGACCCACTTATGGAAGAGTAGGGTCCAGTCTCTCGTGCATCTAAGGGTTAAGTAAGTCTTCTCAGCTGCCATCTAACTCCACTTGCATCTGTTCGGTTGTGGTAAATGGTCCTTCTTGATATTAACAATTAAAGCTGTTTTGATGTGGCTTCTCTACCCTTCTTTCTGTCTGTTTCTTCCTTTTTTTCTCACTCCTCTTCTGTTTTCTCCATTTCGCTGCGCTTGGTGGAGCCAGAGCTCGTCCTAAGTGCCCGACACAGAGGTATCTTTACTTTCCTTGTTCCTTTTTTCCAGAATCTCTTCCTTCATTCAATCCCCTATGTCTGCTATTGTATCTTTCGAAGATTTCACTGCTGTATACATCAATGAGCTTCAATCTCTTCTTCAGTGGTTTCACAGTAATTGTTACATATGTTATGTTTGTATGTTTTATCACAAGAAATAATAGATTTACAAGCCAATTCTGAAGAGTAGATGCTGTTAGAAAATAGTCAAAAAGGGCCCACAAATAACCAGCGTTTGTCCTAAAATAAGCTAGCTAAAGTGAAATGTCAGACAGTTATAATTATTTTAAATGTTCCATCTATGTTATGCTACATCATTATAGTCTTACATATTTGACAGGCTACATCAACATGTATTTAGAAAATGACACTTTGGCTAATTGTTTCCAATCTGGCTTCAAAAGGCAATCCCAATAACATTAAGCTCCTTCGATCTGACCCCCTAAAGCACCCCATCTAATATGTACCCTCCCTCTCCCTGTCTCCCCTTTTATCAGATCCCCCTCCCCCTTCTCACCTCTTGCTCCTCTCTCCATATCCACGTCTCCCTACCTCCCTCTGCCTCCGTCTCTTTATTCCACCTCATCTTTGTGGTACCTGTCTGACTGTTTGTCTCTGTGTTTTTTAGTTTGGACCTCTCAGAATTGGCAAAGGCTGCCAAGAAGAAGCTCCAAGCGGTGAGTTGGATTGAATTGTGAGATTCAAATCATGGCTAAATGTAAATTCACATTACAACTCTTAGTAATGGCTGCAGTCGAATAGTCCATTTAGCTCAGGAACCTTCCTAACGGAGTGAAATGACCTGGAAGTCCCTCAGTGGCAGCCATGATAAGTGCCGTTCGAATTTTGATAGGAAAGGAGGTTTCAAACTTCCTTTAGAACCTCCTTAGCTTAGGCAACACTGGACCTCCCTTTACGAAAGAAAAGGAGCAATTGCTGTCCCACAATGCCTTGCGGCCGCAGCATTTGCCATCGCACAACATTCGCCATCGCACAACATTCGGCCGTTCACGGAAACAACCGATTATGACTGAGAAATGATATCATGAAAGTTACGGTGCTTATTAAGCATTTTAAAACATATGTGGTAAGTTGCCAAAGTGCTTTGTTTTGAACGTTCATCACTATAATAATCAAAAGGAGAAATATGAACGTTACTTTTTTACTGAAATGATCAAATGAAGTCAACATTTCATAGTGTTTTACTCTGCTCAGTCAGCTGTGTGGGGTTTCTTAAACTTTTAAAAGATGTTTTAATAATTGTGATATACACAGTGATAGATGTTAAGGACTAACACGTTTATAATAAATACGTTTGTATGAAAAGATCTTAAAATAAATACAATCATACGTATTGGGATTCATGTGGATTAATACGTGTGGACCGGAGGGTGACAAGCATAAGTTTCACTTCCCTTTTTTATTAAAGTGTTCTACATGCGTATATACAGTAGTCCGCCGTTCTTATTATACATCCATGTTGTAGTCCGCTGGATATAAAACTGTAGTTTCCCCGCAGCAGCAGACTCACATTAATGACGTCCGCTCGCGCATCATAAACACGTCGCATAGTGAAAGTGCAGTCGGATTTTCAAAGCACCGCAGTCCCTTCTCCTAAGTCCTTTTGAATTCTCCTATCCACTATCCCTTAACCCCGTGACGTTTCACTCAGAGGTCAAGGGATAGACGATAGGAATAGACCAGTGGTCGCCAACCAGTCGATCGCGAGTGTGGTGCGGGTAAATCGCGGACCGTTAAAAAAAAGTAACAAAAGAAAGAAAATATGAAAAACAGGTATGAAATACTATATGGCAGTAAAACAAGAATACAGTTTAAAAGGGGAGTGATTTGTAAAATATCCATAAAGAAAAAGAAAATCTGTTTACAGTTCAAATGGGTGCTGAGAGAGGTATCATAGATCTCTTCATGTTGCTCTCAAAGTGCACCAGATTGATGCTTTCAACTTCAATATTTAAAAAAAATCTTCCCGGGGGAACATCCCCCCCGGACCCCACTAGAGGAGGTGAGGACCCCACTAGAGGAGGTGAGGACCCCCCTAGAGGAGGTGAAGTCCGCCTCCCACTCATAAAAAATAGCACTTTACCCCTGCCTATATGCCGTGAGCTGATTATGGAGTAACAGTAATTCAGATGCAATTAGCCTATATAAAAGGCCTCAAATTGGAAGCACTGCCTGGGCCGTCTTTTTCACTCAATTCTGCAATAGTTAGATCTCGCCTTTCACCTAGGCCGAGGTCGGTGATCTTGGGCTTAAAAAGGTTGGTGACCACTGGAATAGACGATAGGAATAGACGATAGGAGCTGATTTTTGGACTATTCGACTGCAGCCCAGGACTAGAATTACCAAAGCCAAGGCTGTAGCTTTTAATAACAGAAAGCTAGTCTTCTTGTGTTATGTAAAAAGGGAAATACTTGGTTTAAAGTTTCTTGGCATAACATTCAGATGTTCTGTTACTTGGCAAATTTAATGTGCGTCCACTCCAGGGACATCTGTTCAGCGCCAAAGAATGCTTTCAATTCCAAAACTAAGTGTAATGATTGCTTATCAACATTTAAGTGACTGAAGTAACAAACCATTGCAAATAACTTGCTGAAAAAAAGATAGCATGCCAAGTCAAATCTTAAGTTTGCAGCCCAGATTGCTGTAAATCAGGTTCTTATTTCATGTTTTCTTCAAAATACATTTGGGATGAGTCAATTTGTTTGTGTCCAACAGCTCAACAATCGGCTGTTTGAGGAGCTAGCGATGGACGTATATGACGAGGTGGATCGCAGAGAAAATGATGCAGGTGAGTCTCATCTCCTTCCTCCTCACACTACCGGTTCTTTGTTTTGACTCCTGTGAAAACTAGATGTCAAAAGCAATATGAAAGACATACACAAGACGTCATTGACATAAAAGAGAAAAGTAGGAAGAGAAAATAGATGTTGATAGGAACAGCGAGTGAATTTGAAGGACAGAGTGAGAAGAAAAGGAAAATGACTGTGAAAGAGAAAGGCCAAATGGAGTGAGGAAGGAGGAGGAGGAGAGACTGAAGAATTTCTGAGGCACTTCCTCACTCTCTCTCCTCCTTGGCTCTTTCTCGCTCTGTCTCCTTCTCTTTTTGCGTTTCTTCTCTCCCTTTCCTGCAGTAGCAGTCAAATTGTGCTTTCTAACAGAAGCACCGCAGGTAAGTGGCAAGGATACTAAGACACACACACACACACACACACACACACACACACACACACACACACACACACACACACACACACACACACACACACACACACACACACACACACACACACACACACACACACACACACACACACACACACACACACACACAAGGGGAGCGCTCAAAGCACTACGCTGGATTATAGGGGCAGAACTTCAGTTTTAGGACCTACAGTATTATTTGACTGCTCTGTTTATGTCTGTATGCATGTGTGGGTGGATGGACTGGCTGACTGCCTATATTCAATGTTAAACACACACTCACTCACAAAGACTTATTTTTTGCTTTATATTTGTGTCTCTAGTGTGGCTCACGACCCAGAACCACAGCACTCTGGTAACAGAACGCAGCGCGGTGCCCTTTCTTCCTGTCAACCCTGAATACTCTGCCACACGCAACCAGGTAAACACACACACTCAAACACACACCTCTAATACAGACAGCATGTATATACTCTTGTGCTTGTGTATTAGCTGATACAAAGAAATACATGCATTCTAATTGAAATGTAGGTTTCAATTGAAAACTGAGAAAAGCAGAGAGGAAAATATGGAGCCTAGACAGTAAGCCAGTGTATGTGTTTTTGGGAAAAGCTGAAAGGGAGTGTGAAATTGACGAGGGATGTTCTTCAGCTGTGTGTGTGTGTGTGTGTGTGTGTGTGTGTGTGTGTGTGTGTGTGTGTGTGTGTGTGTGTGTGTGTGTGTGTGTGTGTGTGTGTGTGTGGTGTGTGTGTGTGTGTGTGTGTGTGTGTGTGTGTGTGTGTGTGTGTGTGTGTGTGTGTGTGTGTGTGTGTGTGTGGTGTGTGTGTGTGGTGTGTGTGTGTGTGTGTGTGTGTGTGGTGTGTGTGTGTGTGTGTGTGTGGTGTGTGTGTGTGTGTGTGTGTGTGTGTGTGTGTGTGTGTGTGTGTGTGTGTGTGTGTGTGTGTGTGTGTGTAGTGTGTGTGTGTGTGTGTGTGTGTGTGTGTGTGTGTGTGTGTGTGTGTGTGTGTGTGTGTGTGTGTGTGTGTGTGTGTGTGTGTGTGTGTGTGCTGCACCTCCCCTCTGTCCTCTTCCCCCGTTCCTCATCTGTGTGGCTTATTAGTGTAAACATTTACTTTTAAACTCGAGCAAACACACACAAAAACACGCCTGCATAACCTGATTTACTCTGCCCTGATTGGTCAGTTCACTGTGGTCAGTAACTGCTGTCTATTTATGGTGGGAGACGGAAGAAAAACACACTCAAACGCATTCAGAGTTCAACTTTTTACCTCCAGTTGTCTTCCAGCACAACTAATTATACGTTAGGAATGCCGGATCGCCATGGGTAATAGTTCTGGTTTAACACTTCATTCGAAAGTGATCCTTTTATTCTCTTAAATGGATGCCAGCATGCTTGTGTAATTGCATGGTTTAATGTTTCTTTCCTCATGATTTGTGTACGTGTGAGCACACTTGTGATGGTGTGTATCTGTGTGTGTGTTGCGAGTGTTGAGTATGACTGTGTTTTTCCACAGCACATGGCCGTTGACCACAGCAGTCACAAAGGCATTGAACCGCTGACTGTGGGCTGGATTGTATCTGTATTCAACGCAACTGATGATACAACTTTAAGACATATTCAGACAGGCATGCCAGTATGTGTATATTATGACCTAAGTGTTAATATTTGACTCATTCTCCTCTCAGGGCCGTCAGAAGCTCGCCCGTTTCAACGCTCGGGAGTTTGCTACGCTCATCATCGACATCCTGAGTGACGCCAAAAGGAGACAGCAGGGAAAAGGTCTCAGCAGCCCTACTGGTAAGGCACTGGGAAAAGACAGATTAGGGCTAAATACAAAAAGGCAAATAGCTTTTTTTTTGGAACAGCAAAAAGCACATCACTTGAAAAAGTGATGATCTCTGCAAGCAGCTACTTGGCAAACGGGCACCAGTCCAACTACTGAGAAAGGCTGAAGGAAAGAATGGTGGTTTCTTTAGGATTTATTGTTAATGGGTTACATTTGAGCCAGACCAGGCTCTACGTTTTCCTCTGTACAGAAACTTGCCTCTCCTAACTCTAACAATTGATTCTAATGTGAAACTAACAAGGAAACAAGTCGTATATAGAGCTGGTTGCAATCCGTCAGCAACCTAATCAGACTGAGCATCCCTAAGGGGGGGGGGGGAGCTGATACACTGTATATTGAGACGTGTGCAATCTTCCTTTGTCAGACACATTGGATCTGGGCATTGATGATGACCAGCATGACTACGACAGCGTAGCCTCTGATGAAGACACCGACAGCGAGCTGACCGCCCAGAACAACAACAACACACAACGCAGCAACCGTGCAAAGGTATGGTACTTGAACACACACTATTTATTTTGGAAAACCAATGAACGATGTGTCCTGCCACATGTGCGCTTACTATCTAGCTTTGATCAAATGCATCACACTATTCAAGGTAACATCTGCAACTCTGTGCTAGTGTTTTTAGACAATAATGTAGTCAGTTTCTCTCATTTAAACCATAAAAAGTAGTTCCATCAGCTAGCCAAGCTGTTCTCTTTATGACTGCTTGTCCCAGCATGCTTTGCAGGGAGTGGCTACAGTCAGAGCTGCCACATAGCTCCTGTGTGACATCATCAGCTATTCTGGGTCCATGTCAGAGAAGCATTGTTCTCACAGAGAGGGAGAGTACTGTGTAGTGAGAGGAAAGGAAGGAGGAGGTTGAGGGAGAGAAAGAGGGAAATGGTGCAGAGTGGGAGTGGTAGAAATGAAAACAGATAAACCAATAACTATCTACTTTTCGTGGACTTGCTTAGATCGTTGGGAAGAACCGCAAGTCAGAGGTTTCACTCCCGTCTCCAAAAATATGCATTCATTATGTGATGGTATTAAATGTCATTGTCACCAATCATACATAGTGTTATCTAAAGAAGTAAGTTGAGGCATAATGGAAACACAGAAATGAATCGATAGGAGGTGGATGCAACCAAAATATGTTTTATATTGTTCACTTTAAGGAGTGGTATGGAAATGTGTTCACAGGAAGTGGGGGGGGGGCACATGGTGCATTGAGAATAAGAACTGAGGCTCTTCTGTCTAAATGTGTGTTAGCAGCTGCAGGCCAGCCCTCTTTCTCGCACACTGTTGTAAGCAGTGTTTTATTCAGCTGAAAAGCCGCTGATTCATTCCCATTACCCCTGCTCTAAATGACATTCTTTATATAACATAGAAGGATGTCAGCCTCCACAAAGAGTTACATACATTTGTTCAAATATACACTTCAATAGCTGTCATGACGTCAGTGTCCTCACTTTGTCTGTGCTTCTCTGTCCACCTGTCTGTGTTTCTTTTATTCTTTCTACCCGTCTGTCCGCCTGCCTGTCTGTCCTCTCAATGCAGAGCATGGACTCCTCAGACCTGTCAGACGGGCCCATCACTCTGCAGGAGTACCTGGAGGTGAAGAAGGCTCTGGCCTCCTCAGAAGCCAAGGTGCAGCAGCTGATGAAGGTCAACAACAACCTGAGCGAGGAGCTGCGGCGGCTCCAGAAGGAGGTAGGGAGCATGTCAGACCAATCACACTCATAAGGTTAGACAGTTGTTCTATGCAGAAGAGCAAAAGAGAAAGTAGATAAGGTCAGTTTAGCTTATTTTGCATTTGTATATTTAATAACAGTGGAGGACAGGATACAGGGAACAGAGATGGGATGAAGCACTAACTGGCAGAAGATGTCATTGTTTCTTAGAAAGGTGAACACTTAGAACCTATTTGAAGTTGGATTACAAAATCAGATACAGGATAATAACTAGAAATAGGGGAGGTCGGCTGAGAACACACAAGATCAAGTCACATGTTGGCGAAATGAGAAGGGAGGGTTGATTCAGACAGGAAGCCAGGATGATGTAGAGCAGGGGTGTCAAACTCAATTTCATCACGGGCCACATCAGCATTATGGTTGCACTCAAAGGGCCGGTTGTAACTTTAAAACTATATAAATATACAAATATTTAATATATATAATGTATTATATTACATTATTGCCTCTTGGATTATTATCGGATAGGGTAATAACTTCATAATTAACTACGTCTGAAAGCAGAAGTCTTGGGCAAATAATTGCAAGTCTCTTCAGTGAGAATGTCACAAAATGATTTAAAAAGAAAAGCCAAATTCTGGAAGGCAAAAAAAGGTGACATTTTGGGGGGAAAAAGTAACATTAAAAAAAAAAAAAAATAATTCTGAGGAAAAAAAGTGAAATTCTGAGAAAAATGTGAAATTCTGAGAAAAATGTGAAATTCTGAGAAAAAAAGTCAAATTTGAGATGCATTGTGGGACATGTAGTTTATGGGCAACGTGCTTCTGTAAAGTAGCATGTAACCGTATAATAAACATATTATATTCTTTGCAAGCTCTTATGGGGCCACATAAAATGAAGTCGTGGGCCGGATTTGGCCCCCGGGCCTTGAGTTTGACACCCCTGATGTAGAGACAATTGAATATTTTATTATCTTTGTAAGCTGATGTGTTTTTCCTGACAGGGTGTCCTTTTCCTTCATCATTGTCGATGGAAGATGTGTTTGGTTACACCTTTCAGTGTTATTTACTAGAGCTGACGTCATTGTTATGTGGAGTAAGAGTGCTACAAATATTCACGCTCATTCTCACTTTTAGATTAGACCATTTTCACTGAATAGCGTTCATTTGCGGTTCAATGTCGCTTCATTTGGTTCCCTGAGTCATCATCAGTAGCTCATTGTATTCATTAGTGGCTGCGAGTGCCAGCTTATGTGACCCATGATTCATTCGTGTGTTTATTTTTGTCACTTGACTGAGGATCTAGTGAAGCATCGAAGCACACAAACTGCAGATAACAAATAATGTGGTCAAATTTAGATGCTAATGAACAGTACCTCAGTGTAAGTGCGCCCCAATTTCCCCTCATTGACCCTTAACAACTATCAGTGTGTATATTCAGGTGTGCCCCCTCCCTCCCCATTCCCAATGCCTAATCCCTGCCTCGACATGTAACAATTCAAGTGTCTGTAATACATATTCCCTCCCTCCCCAGTACTAATATGAGTTACTATGTATGAGCTTGTGTGCTTTTTACTGTACCTGACTGTGATTGTGGATGCTTGTCTTTGAACATTCAGTTGACATCCCCCTCCCTTCCCTTCAACCTCCCCATGTCCCTCCCTCCATCCTCTCATCCCTCCTTGCTCCCTTCCTCCTCTCCTGTAGATCACACGGATGCAGACAGACAACAGTGCGCTGCGGGGGGGCCAGCAGGCTGGGGGGGCAGCTGGCCATGGGGTAGGAGGGCCTGGCGGAGGAGGAGGAGGAGGAGGGGGGGGGGGGAGGTGGCTATTGGCAAGGGGGTGGTATGAGAGGAGGTGTAGGGGGCCTGAGTGGGTTTGGGACAGGAGCAGATCCTCCGGGGCTCACTGTGCCCTCCTCCGCTGCCCCCCACTCCCATCCCCACCGAAGGGACCGCCAGGCCTACTCAATGTACGAGCCAGGGGCGGCCCCCGGCCCCATGGCCCATGGCCCCCCAGTCCTGGACTCCCTGGCAGCCCGCCTGCAGCCACTCAACACATACAGCGTAAGTTAGAACTTCCCGGCCCCCCTTTCTACTTCCCACCTTCCTTCTGGTGGCCCTGATTGGCTCTCTCTGGCCTGATTGATGGGCGATAGTCCAATCCTGACTCTCTATTTCCCTCTGACGTTGTCTCTCCCTGCATCTCAGTTCCCGATCCTTCTCTTCTAAAAGTCCACTTGTGCATCACCCCCATTTACATTTGGAAATACACCACTGATTTGTCTTTAAACAACAAGACATGAACCTATGATTTACAGCACCATACAGTAGGGCTGGGACATATATGAATATTATAACAATGTTTACATGAGACTATAGCTCCTAAAATGTCATGTATCGCATTATCTTTATGGCAAAAGTAATTTCCAGTTAAGGCTGTCATATTATTTGCCTTTACCCTCTTACTCATATATCCTCATGACTGATGATTGTTTATAAAAAATTGAATTTTGTAAATATATTTTGAAATCACCAATAGTCACTCCTACGCTATTTGGTATCATGACATTTAATTTCTCCATATCCCCCAGCCCTACCATAAAGAGGAAGTGCACAAGTGTGACGTGAAGGAGAACAATGGAAAATAGGGATTGTGTTGTTTGTTTGGATGTCTTGCCACGCCTCTGATTTCTCTGCTATGGCCTGACCTTTACATTTTCACCCTTCTGACCTCCCAGTTAGCTCTCCTGCTTCTGGACAGCTGCTTAGATTAGGACTTGCTTTGATCACTCACATATGCAAGTGCACACACGCGCACAAATGAAAGAATATGTTTGCTCTGTTTTCCAGTAAAGGTGGTAATACGGCAGGCAGCTAGATGTCCTTTTGATATCTTTCACTTTATCCTGTATCCACTCGTCACCACTACTGTCAACCTTTCTATGGAGACCTCCATGGATTGGTGTCCAATTCCCCATCTCCGTACACAAAGATTTACCTGTTTGTCTGTTTTCTTTCTGTCTGTCTGTCTCTTCACCCGTCTGTCCCTTGCTCACTGCAGTGCAGCCGTGCATCCTCTGGATGTAAGCATTCTGTCTGTCATTGCATTGTTTGCCATTTCATCAACTGTAGGATCCCCTCACACGCAGCTATGCACCACTTCTGCTTATTATGCTTTCTAATACTGGAGATCAACACTAGAGTATGTGTGTAGTCCTTCTTGGATGCTCTGTGTGATGTATAGCCGTTCCCCACCACTTAGTTTAGTTGACAGTGTTCTCTGTATTCCAGTGTTAGATAACTATAGAGGCATGCAGTCTTGATGGGATGATGGGTGAGCTGCCGAGTTGATCTGCCGCTGCTCTCACCGGCTCATTCATCTTGTTTATCTGCTGTTTATAAAAACATCTCTTCTCTCTGTCCCCACACTCTTTTTTTCCTATTTCTTCATCCATCTCTGTCTGCTAATCTGTCATCCCCCTCTCCACCTCCTTGTCCACACATCTTTCTTTCTCCTCCTGTCCTTATCCCTCCATCTCTCTCTTCCTTTCCCCATCCTTGTGTTCCCCCTTTTCACAGGCACGGAAGGGCAGTACAGGGGGTACCGGGATGTATGGGGTCCAGCATCTTTCTACAGAGATGGGCAGATACATGGTGAGGCCTTACTGTTTGTAGTTGTTGTCTTTAAATATATTTGTCCACCTTCCACTTTTATTGATCCCCATTTTTGCAAGTGGATTTAAATTAAATAAATTAAATAAGTAGTGTCCCACTTATAATGCAAATGGCTCGTCATCCAATGCAAGCTTCAAGTGTAAACAAACCTTAATTATTTACATTTTTCAGAGGAGCAAACAACGAAAAATGAGTGATGAGAGTTTTCAAATCTGCGCAATTTAGTGTTTTTGTGGGAGGGAGTGTCGTTCAGCTCCACAGGAGCTTTGTTGAGAAAGGTGATAATTGTCCTGATGATGCGTGTTGTTGCTTTGTTTCCCTCTCGAAGGTCCCCAGAGGAGAGAAGCATGGCAGCGGCACTGACAGCGACTATGACAACACACACACATACGACCTCTCGCTAAGGTCAGGCTCTCTGCAACTCATTGTACTCACAAGGATACGTGTGTTTCCTAATCTTTTGGGGAAATGCTATTCCCATTGCCAGTATCGGAGACAAAGTATATCCTTCTCATATTTAGGAAATGTATTCCAAAGGCAGAAACAATTATTCTGAAATATATTTACCCACAATAAAATCAGATCTGAGATCAAGTCAAAAGTTGTAAGTCATGGGATATAATTGGTACTATTAATCATTTAAAGCCCTTAACATTTAGCTAATGTAAATATCAGTGTTCGACAAAGATGTTGTCATTCATTTACCGTTACAATGTTTTTATATGGATATTTTGGTTTGCTCTATTTGCTGCTTTTTTTTGTTTTCTTACGGCCCGTCCACATACAAGCATGGGCGTGTCTGAAGCTTGGCGATTTTTTGCGAGCAACGCGACCAACAACCAATCACATGAATCTCCCGCCCCCGACATACAAAGCAATAGCAATGTTAAAACGAAGTGGATATAAAATCCCCAAACAGGCGAAAACCTACCAGTTTCACCCACTGTCTCTGCCACCTCCCTCCATGCCTGGTTCCTCCGGTTTGTATCCCGGTAAATAGTTCTGGTCGTAAAGAACCGGGTGATTTGCTACCGTAATTTCTCGTTTGGAATATGAGGAAATGAACTGCGGTCTGGCTCTCCCAGCTTGCACGCGGTTTGATTGGCTAGCGCTTGTACTGGCGGGATTTGCATAAACGGGATTTGATTGGCTGATGCCAGCTTCGAAAGCATCGGGAGCATCAAAAGTTGAACATTGCTCAACTTTTGATGCTCACGATGCTTGCAAAGCCATGCTCCGCTCCCCACAATGCAGTTCGGCGAAGATTTAAAATCTTCTACGTCACCCCATTCAAGTGAATGGGCGAAGCTTTGAAAGATTTTTTTCATGCCTGTGTGTGGACGGGCCGTTACTCTGTAGGGCTTTAAATGGGTTCCACACCGATAAGGGCTTTATGATCTTTTCCCAAGTTGTTAATGAGAAATAAACATGCACTCTCTAAAGATGTGAACTCTTGATTTCTCATTAAAGTCCTCTGTGCCTCTCCGCTCTCTCAGTAATCCAAGGTGATGATTAAAGTGTATGAATGTATGTGTGTTCTCCTGTCAGTATGGGCCGCAGCAGTGAGGACTCTGAGGAGGGAGGAGGGGGAGACGCAGTGGAGCCGGACCCCACCCTGCCCTGCACGGAGGATGTCATTATGAAGACTGAGCAGGTGACCAAGAACATCCAGGAGCTGCTCAGGGCTGCGCAGGAGTTCAAACACGACAGGTAGGTGGCAGACGACCCACTGACGGAGCCAAGTGACACTAACACATTTAGTCTGCTTTACAATACTTCTTGTATCCTAGTGGTCCTCTTCATTAGATAAGCATTACAAAGTTACAGGAACATCTAGCGCCAGAACTCTTTTCTAAATGTTTTTCTTACACATTTTGTTTAGAATTCTTCATGTTCAGATTCCTTTTATTTTGAAATAGAGACCTTTATTTTATAATTACATGTTGTTTCCTTATCCTGTGAATGCCATTAGTGCTACGTTCTGGCCATTGCTACAGTGCAAACGAAAGTTGTAGAAGTCACTGATGATAAACTTGCTCATTCATTTGCTCAGTCTTTCATTAATACAGTACAACACAAAGTGAAGACTTTTCAATGCTATCTTATGGGAGCCCTGTAGTTGTTGAATATCCACATCACTAGTTCAAAGGGTCTTATACTGTACCCAACACACTTATTAACACCAGGTGAATGCAGTTGTTGATGTCTAAAGACCATCATCCAGGCATGTTGAGGGGTTTGCACTCGTGATGGGGTCGTACATTAGAAGTGTATTCAAATGTCTTAAAGCAGCATTTAGTAAGAGACTACCTTGTTTTATCAATCAGAATCAGAATACCTTTATTAGCCACTATCTTGGCTCACAAATGGTGGAACAGGCTTAATATCATATCAGGCTTCATATCAGGTTCATATCAGGATTGCTGACCACTAGTTTTAACTGCACAATAATAATGATTTGGTTACTCGATGATTGTTGCTTTTTTGTTTTTGTTCTATAATGTGAATGAGTTAACAAATGTGTCTCGTCTTTAGCTTTGTTCCATGTTCCGAGAAGATCCACTCTGCTGTCACTGAGATGGCCTCACTCTTCCCTAGAGTAAGTCGCAGATACTTTATTCTCACATCTCCCTTTGTGCGTCTCTTTTTGTTATTATCCATCTTTATCATCCTTGCTCTGTGAGTTGAGTTTTGATTCATTTCTTCCGTAGCGCCCTGCGTTGGATGCGGTCCACAGCTCCCTCCGCCTGTTGGCTTCCAGTGCCTCGCGGTTGCAGGTGGAGTGCCGTAAGGCGGGGCCCTCAGAGCCCGGGGGCCCCGCGGTGGACTACCAGCTCCTCACTCAGCAGGTCATCCAGTGCGCTTACGACATCGCCAAGGCTGCCAAGCAACTGGTCACCATCACCACCCGTGAGAAGAAACAGTGACCCGACAAATGCATGGAAAAATGAAGAGGGAGAGAGGACGGGTCGATGCATGGGTGGGCTATGGAGGACCAGGGAGGGGGAGCGATCGGGAGAATGATAGCGAAGAAGATGGAAGAGTGCTGAATGTTTAGTAGAAACACTAAAGAGAAGTGGAGAAAGTAGGGAAGGATCCAACCTGGGAGCTACAGCCTGCTGCAACCTGAGTAAACAGTTGACATAAACCACTGTGATGTGAAATACAATGGTGACGATGTACAGAGAACTGGATCCGGAGATGTTACCGCTTTATTTATTCTCACCTGTCAGCCATCACCCCTCCCTCTGAGTGAGGAAGTGCGAGAGACAGGAAGTAGACGCACCAACCACGACCTTCTACACACCATCTCCTCCTCTCCGTCCTGCGGAGACGTACCTTCCTCTACCTCACTCTCCTACCAGACACACCCTCTGCCTCCTTCTTCATCCAAGACAGGATGTGAAGGACCCCTGGGACCCACCCAGCTCCACCCTACCCCACCCAGGCTCTCTCTGCTTCCTCCTGGGTTACATTTTCAGGGGGCTCCAGTTTTTCTTCGCCGCCTGTTGTCGGTGGTACACAGCATGACCTGGCATGTTTTCATTTCTTTCCTCTCTTCTTTTTCTTTATTTCTTTTGAATACGCAGATGGGTTTGGTCTGCACCACTAAGGACAAAAATAACTGACTTACACAAACAAAAACAAAACACTTACACTGGAATAATTGTGACTTATTGTTGTTGATTATCTATGCCTATCGTTTCTTTTTGTATTGATATTTTTACTGACTGTCATTTTGATTTAACTGTTTATGTATTTTATTGTCTCAAATATGATTCTCATTTAGTGGGATAGGGAGGCGGGCGGGAGTATGTGCTCAGCTGGTCACATGCTCACACACTTACACACGAAGAAGTAACCTGTGTCCTCGACATTTGTCAAGCACTCATTTTCTGGGAGACAGTTCGGGGAGATTTGTTTTCGGTTTGGATTTTCTGTCAGACCAAAAGCCCCTTGGTGCATTACGTCAGGACCTGGATCAAAACTCTTCTCGTGTATCCTCAGTTTGGGCATGACTTGTGTTCTAATTCTCCTCATTTATCAGAGCCAGTGGAATCATCTCATCCCAAATTCACTTTCGATGTGCCAAGCAGTATAATAAGTATTGGGTGTGCTCCTGGGTGCCTGTAGCAGCCATTGCTTGCATGCATGGCAAATCAGTCACATCAGTTGATCCACATATTGGTGTGTTGCTTTAAGTAGTCCTGTGAAAAGCACCATATCTAGTTAACATTTCATTTGTCATTTGAGAATATACGCTCACTTGCAATGGATTTAACCCCCTTAAATATGCATGTTGTACTTTGCCTTGCATTATGCTTATTTACACTTTCCTGCCTGGCAAGCCCATTCAAGCTTACATTCAGTTTTCCATTGTATCCTCTGTCGGGGCCTGCTGATCCGGGCCACAGAAGTTGTCACTTTTTATGTCTCTTAACTTTGCTAATGGGACACAGCATTGGGAACAAAAATGTTTTTTCATTTGTTTCGTTTTTTTTCAAAAAGTTAGCCTACTGTCGGACTGAAGCGTATTGTAATGTGCGAACACATCTGGTCACATCTGTAACAAAAGATTCAGGCCCTCTTCTCGTTTGGATTCATCCTTCTCCAATTACATTGTCACCGGTTTCTCAAAGTGTTTGTGGCCTTAACTGTCAGTTGTTCTTGTGTTGGTATATTATATAAACAGGCTTCAGAAGGCCTCTGCACATTACATGTTCCTACCTGCAACATTGACCTCATCCTTCAAACAGTAGTTGCATCTCATATTGTTTTTTTCTTGTATTGCTGCCAATTTAGCAAGAAGCAATTAGACCTTAATTAGCCCCTAACACTTTGAGAGACTGATGCTAGACAACCTACAGCACTTCTCTGTCCACTTTATCCATGTTTCTCCCCCTCTTTTAATTACTTGGCTGTCAGTGTTCCTCTCAGACAGTTGCACTCACGTCTCCTTAGGGGAGGATGGGTTGTTTGTTCTGTTCCCTGTCAAAGCAAATCATGTCCAGAAGACTCGTGAAATGTATCATCGTTTGATATTGAATGCCTTGGGACATTATCATCATCTCCTGTTGAGTTACTGACAGCTGAAACAACACTAATACTTCCACACACACACAAACGCACGCAAGGGGGTCAGCAAAAACGCTCGTCCCTTCAATCATGATTGCCCAAGTTTTAGATTAGAGCCTTATATATGAACATATATTTTCATGCTATATTTTATATTAAGCTATATGTTAGGGTTATGTCTGCGAGATATTTATGTCTATTTCTTTCCCCGAGTGGGCTTCAGGCTACGGGATCTGTTCTCCACATTTTCACTCAGCCCTTCAGTCCTCACAGATATACTTGTAGATTTTTAATTATTGTGAGTATGGTTACGCTGTGGTATTACCCCCTTATGTAGATATATTGTACATATTATGATCCTACTAGAATCCACAGGGAGAAGAGTTGAATTTAGACGATATCTCATTATATTGTACTATTTTCAAACTCCATCTGGGTGAAGTAGGATCTGCACTATGTACTGCACTCTCCCAGAGGTTTTAGGTCAAGTACATTAGGTGCAGGATGCAGGGTTTGATTGAGGATGGGAAACAGGAAAGGTCTGAAGCACACTTGGGCTTAGCACTACAGTCATCTCAAAATGTCGGGAGGAGGGTCTACAACGCACATGGCCTAGTCCTTCCCGGAGATAGTCCACACTACGTAGGGTGCCTCTAGTATGAATGTTAAAGGCTTCCGTCAGATCAAGCCCAACATGCTTTTATACACCTTCATCATGTCATTAAACACACACCCTCAACTTATCAGTTGGACCAAGCCTTCTACAAAGTACTAACATTAAAACTACAGTGAGTTGAACACACACACACACACACTTCTCATACTCAAGCATTGGCAGTGCACTATGGGGTGTACTGTTCATGTCCCTGTTTTTCTTTACAACTCTACGCTTTGGGAGATGGGTGACGGGAGAGTTATGTTTTAACAGATGACGTACACAACTGTATAAAGTAGAGAAAACAATGACTTAAAAAGGTCAATCGTAATGGAAACTCATAAGCTGTACATTTGTAATAAAATAGTAAAACTAAGTGGATTTTCTTGGATCTGTCGGCAGGTTTTTCCTCTGTTTGGATGCTAACCTGTGTGTATTTACATCTCTGTAATATGTAAGGACAATTCCAACATAAACCTTTCAGAATCAAATGAAAACATTTAACTAGCTGTTGTCATTTTGAACAATTAAAGAAACACTGCACCATGCTGAGGTCATACAATACTTCTGTAGCTTTGCTGTGTTGCATTGAGTATACTAAAATAAGAAACAAAACAGAAACAAACAATGTTTTTTTTCAATCTAAAACCTTTAATTGCATCTTTTTACTACCCGATACCGAAATGAAAAGTTTGAATTATTCCATTACGTGTATGAAAACCTCACAGGGTATTATAGTACTGTATATGACCACTACAACTCACTATAGCATTTAGAGTTTTCTACTTTTTTTTTACTTGATCAATTCAATGACTTTTGTTTTTTAAAACAACACATTTAACAGATTGTTATAAAAAATGTTCATTTAACCTTTTTAAGACTAGAATATTGATATTGGTATCAGCCTAAAAAAATCGCACTGGTTCGATTCCAACATTTAAATCCTGACATCCAGTACAGCTGTTTTAAACAGGAGTCCACACGTTTAACTAATGTTAAGGAATAACAATAAAATGTCTAAAATCCTTCAAATGTAGCCCAAAACTGTCAACATACAGCTGTTCAAATCATTGTACCATTTAATAACAAATACAGCGCACGGTGTTGCTTAGAACAGCAACTTACATATTCACATAGTAAAACATCCCAATAATAAAATAAATGTCATATTACTATAAAACTATTTATAAAAACAGAATATTGACAAAATGTAGCACAACAAAAACAATCATTGGGTAGAAAAACATTGACAAGAACAGGCCTGGAGACTTTATATTGAATGTGATACACTGGAGTGAATAAAATAAGGCGTGTGTAATGTGTGATGTGTAGAAGAATATAATCAGAGACATTTATAAAACGTTCTCTTTGGACTCTTTAATGTATATGTTTATACTGTAGGGATTCCCTGAGTGGTTAAATGATTGATCTGGAACCATAGGACTGAATAGAGTTGTGTGAGCTTTCATTAGCCTCCTGTAAATGTCCTTTAAAGGTAGGGTAGGTAAGAATGGAGAAACCAGCTCGAGTGCGCTAGAATTTGAAACTATGCAGCCGAATAAAATCTGCCCCTTCCTTCACACTTCCTTACAGAGCCCCTCCTCCAACACACACGAACGAGCACATGACCAATGAGGGCACGAGATAAGTTTGTGCACAGATGGAAGGCTGACAGGCAGGTAGGCCATCCAGTTATTTTAGCCGGGCCGGCTCAGATGATTGGTCGTGCTTTTTACAGCGCTCCGGCTTCCACAGATGAAATGTTTTTATGTATTTATTGTCAAAGCATTTAATGTATTCATTGCTATCGGGATGTTAAGAGCATTCCATGGAATATAACAAAGTGTTTCTGAAGTAAATTACCTACCCCACCTTTAATGCTTGTGATTTGGGGATTGTAGTTTTGACTACTGTATGTAACCTATACATCTATAAAAGGGTTCTCTATGATCTATGTGGCATTTCAGCTTCTACAGTATGTGGCATTTCAGCTACAGCTTCCAGCTTATCCAGCTACTTATTTGATAAAAGATGAGTCGCACCTAATTTAGAATAATTTGTCTCGCAAAGAACATTTCATTGATAAAGACACTGATGCAAATATTGTCCACTGTTGACCTACTCCGCTTTAAATGTGACTTGGGTGCACTCTTGGAGGTGTTTCCTTCATTCTTCTACGGATGTTCGTCTGAGCTGGAGGAGCTGGGCAGAAGAACACACTCCTGTCGTCGGCCCCTTTTCCGCCTTCTGTTGGCAATCCTTATCCTCGTGCGGATCACATCTGGACAACACACACACACACACACACACACACACACACACACACACACACACACACACACACACACACACACACACACACACACACACACACACACACACACACACACACACACACACACACACACACACACACACACACACACACACACACACACACACACACAGAAACACCCAAAATGAATTAAACTGCAAAAGCCACCTCAATAAAAGCAGCCATGGAGGTACTGTATCATTATATTTCTATCAGTCTGTGTCATTAGACAGAGGATTTGCTTGAAAACAGGAAAGTAGAGGAAGATCTGAGCAACATTAGTGTTGGAGCTATATATCGCTTTATATTATTTAAGAGTTAAACATTTATTTTCTTGCTATTATTGTTTATAGTAAATGTATTCTTAGTTATTGTTGTTATCGAAGTGAGTTAAAGTAGTTTCTATGCTTTTATTTTGAAGGCATGTTTGTGCACTTGGTGATTAGAGAACATGATGTAATTGTATATATTGGAGACATGTGGTGGTGGGATTAGAGCACCAGTAGGCACATGTTTTTTTACCAGGGTCTTTCAAGCCACACAAAGGAAAGCCATAGGAAAGGCTAAAGGAAAAGAGATATAGGAAACCTGTTCATTGTACTTTGTTATTGGAATAAAATGCACAAACAGCGATTCTTGTCTGGACTTGGATGATCATTGCCCTGCGTAAGATCCGCTAACTAGTGCCTCAGCGGCAGTGTTATTTTAAGTAAATTATCTCTTTCATTTCTATATGATTTTAGCCGCTACAATTAGGGTTGCACATTTTATACATGATTAAACTTAAGAGGAGGTCTCTGTGTATTTTGGTCATTGTGGTGTTCCTACCTGCCACACTGTCGTAGTCCCGCTGTGGGTCGTGCCAGTAGAGGCTGGGCGTGGTCCTCCAGTGGCGGTACAGCCGTGTGTGGAGCACCGACAGGGTCAGGAGGATCAGCAGGAAGCCCAGAGCTGCTGCGGCCCACACCGCCTCGTCCGTCCTCGGGGTCCGGGACAACCCAAGGTTCACAGCAGCGGCCCCCGACCCCTCGCTGCACTCACAGTGTTCCCCTGCTTTGCAGCTGTCACAGTCGTTGGGCAGATAACTGACTGTCTGTGGGTTCTGATTGTGTTGGGGCTGCAGGGGCGGAGACTCTGATTTTGAAACAGAATCAAAGCCAATATTTTCACTCTTGTATTGAGAGTGTGAACGCTTATGTTCCAACTCTCTTTCTTTAACGTCTATTGCTTCGTTATCCTTCATCGTGCCATCTCTTCCCATCTTCTTCTGTTTGAGGCTGTGTTTAAGAGAGTTGTTGTCTCTGTGTTTGGCTGAACCTTCATTTTTGGAGCTAATGGCCTGGGCTTCGGGCCTGGCAGTGTTATTTTGTTCACTGTTCACACCATTAGCGAGAACAATGAACCCAGCAGAGGGGTTTGGGTTTCTGAGGTTACTGGACTGCTGTGCTGCTGTCTGTAGAGTCAGACTGCTTTCCTGAGACTCAAGAGCCATGAGTCCTAACGAATCACTTCTAAGTCTAGTCTTAGACATATTTGATCCCACAAAAGGGCTGGGTGTGAGGCCATGGTTTGTATTTTGGATCTCAGACTGAGAAGAAGCTTCAGTGTTTCCTGTTGAAGGTCCAAGAGTGTTGTTGTCGTTGTGGACGTCTCCAGTCCTGCTGATGGAGGTTCTGTTGATATTGTATTGTGTTGCATTTCCTCTCTTGTTTTCATCTTCAACATCGCCCTGTTTTTCTTTAATGGCTCTCATCTGCCTTCTTTTTCCTTCCTCTTTACTTAGCTTTAAGCCCTCCTTCTTCATGCTGGATTCTAGCTGTGTCTCCATCGCTCCACTCAGCTGAGAAGAGATGGTCTGCTCACAGCATTGCTTCAGAGACTCCTGGGGATTTACAACAACAGCTTCTTAGAACTACAACCATACTAAAAATACTCTTTTCACATGTTAAATCACAAATAATGAACACCATGGAAATAAAATCAATAAAAAAAGTTGCCAGTCAAGTATTCAAACCTTCATCATTTTTGCCGAGTGTTCCCCTGCATGCTGCTGTCGGTGCTGCTCGGCTGACCGGGTTAACAGCAGGTTGTACTTCCTGCTCTGGCTCACACCACCAAACGTATTTCTTGTGGTTGCTGTGGTCTCCAGCCAATCACAGATGTCTGAAGAGGCCGCTGTGGACAGCTCCAAAGTGTGACCCCATGACACCAAGGCTATTGGCTGAACACATTGCAAACTGTCAATATATGTATGTTTGACAACAGGGACAAAAAGGCTACCTGTATGTACTGCTGCTCCTCAAACAGGGGGGTTGTGGCCTGGTCTTGCTAAGTCAGTGACAATTGTGTCTATTTGTGTAAGAATCAAATTGAGTTACATCTTCAGTTGTGCTTGTCATGTGTTAGTTGAGCAGTGGGGGAACATGCTTTTAATATTTTAACTCCAACACTGAGGAGGCAAAATCAAAGCCTCATTTTGAAAAAGCTTGTAAAAACTTGCTCTTGTATAATTATTTTCTTCTATTCTGTTCTTTCACACATTTGTTGTATCTTTTGCAATGTTTGACACATAATGGAAATCTTTGAATTTATTATATTTTCTGTATATTATGTCCTTTTATGATATGTATCTTTGCACCTTTAAAAATGGTATGGGTTGTATTCAGTGAATCGCCTTGTCACTCTGATTTGGGGTACTATAGTAATAAAGTTTATAATCATGATTATAAGGGTAACAAGACAAGTGTGCAAAGTTCAAAATATTTAAACAAGTGAACAGAAAATATAAAGCCTGAAAAGTAAACAGAAATATTGACATTTTACTGTCCCTTACTGCCTTTGCTGGGTAACAGAGCAGAGATAAAGGGTTATTGTCTCACCCTGTGTTTATTGAGCTGTGGATGTGAGGTCATGATGTAGTCTGGCAGACAGGAGCGGGCCAGGACAGACAGAAGTAAACGCTCGCGGAGAGGAGAACAGGGGTGATAGAGCAAAACAGTGGCTCCATGCTGGGAAAATAAACACAAACAAAGTGACTACATTCACACTAAAAGTTATGACACTATTATGACAATAACTAAAAGGAAGTGCTTACAATAATCTCAATATTATATATTCTCCTTTTATATAAATAATGATTTTCATCTGACAAATATTCCTATGCCTCCAACCCAGTTTCTCATAGCTATAGCATCCTATAGAAAATAAAAAAGGCATTATATGTACAGTAACATCCAAAAATGCACTCCCTTGAAATGGACTAACTACTATTGTTATATTAAGTCTCCTGTATGTCTTGTAATTTCAAAGTGCTTAGCAGATACAGTGATTTAATTGTTGTGAGAGTGGAGACATGTTTGATGTTGAACCTTACGTGCAAGTTATTGAGCCAACGTTGAGGAGGACAGTACAAGTACTCTCCGCTCTTTGCCCTTACTGGTCTGTACGCTCCACTATAACACACACACACCACACACACACACACACCACACACACACACACACACACACACACACACACACACATCACACACACACACACCACACACACCACACACACACACACACACACACACACACACACACACACACACACACACACACACACACACACACACACACAGATACGAACACACATTTTAACATCGTCAGTACCCCTTATATATATATGAACATTATAACTTTATTGCAGTATTAAAAAGAACATAAACAGAGAGTAGATAAGGGCAATAATTACACTGTTGTAAGTTTTTGGTTTTTGAAAATGTTATGATGTGAGCATGTGTCACTGCCTACAAACTCACCACCTTTCAGAGCATTTGTATTATACAGTATGTCTTTACCTGTTGGGAAAGATATGGTTGTAGGAAATAGGTTTATCCATGCAGATCTCCATGGCTGGCTGCAGTGAAAAGAAACCAGGTCAAATTAAATGGTATCACTCCATCTCCTGTGTATACTATAAACACCTTTTCAAAGACCAACACTGAGTTAGTTTGCCCCCATTTGTTATTGACACTTTAGTTACCTCAAACTGCCGCACATAACTAACACATTTCAATAAATCACCAAACACTTGTTGGTACATTTTTAGTAGTAATGCATTACTTTGAATCTGGATGTGTCACTGAGTGTTGTGACACATCTATGTCGTGCTTTGATTTTAGGAAACAATTATAAATCTAGTGTTGGAGGTTAAAAGGTTAGGGTAAACTCAAATAATATGCTTTGTAAAGTGTTTACTCACCTCAGGATCATACACTCTGTCAATACTGGGAAGTCTCTGTAGATAAGAGAGACACAGGAAGGAAGGAGGAATAACCAGAACAATACTACTACTGGTACTTTCCCATGACTTTTTAAACCATCACCTCTGAAGAAACCCTAGAACAGATGATGATGATATATGTTGGATCCATATTTACCTGTGTAGACTCTGGCCAAATAGTTCCTGGACAATCCCAATGCACAGCATCCTCAGGCAGGTCCATTCCCAAAGACAGCTGTCACACAGACACAACATGTGTTTATATTTTGATTCCACTCATTTATTATTATAAAACAAAACATGAAGACTTTAGGGCGGCCGTTTCTTTGTAGCCCATGATGGAAAGGAGCAGGGCGAAGAAAGTATTTTTTTACCTGCCCCTTACTTAAAAAATATGATAATTTACAGCTTACAACCAATACTTACAGTAACAAACCAAACACACAATCAAAAGTCAACACATAGATTGACAGACAGACAATACCGATATATATAGATAGATAGATAGATAGATAGATACAGATAGATAGACAAATAATACAGATAAACATAAACAAAATTAAAAAAGATGTTCTGATCTATGATCTAAACATTATAAAATATACAGATTAGATCAGCCAACATTATTTGAGAGCATTTTTAGACCTAAACCCACTGAGTGACACACACCAAACCTTACTTTATTGAAGTGTAAGTTACCTTTCCATTGTCACATCCTGGAGGTCCGAGGACACCGCACCGACCCAAACTCAGCCACAGCGCCGCCAGCAGAGTCGCTGTGAGCGGCGGGGACGTCGTTCGGCTCGGCATGGTCATTTAAGTGTGACCAGAGGAACATTTACAGTAGATAGCAGTCATAGCTCCCCTTTGGTTTCTAATTACAGAATGACTGACAAAGAACTGAACATTCATAATCACAAAACACACGTTTTCTTTGGCAAAGTCCCATAACAGAAGAGAGAGACGCGCGAATGTCGGTTGAAAAGGTAGCACCGTCACGTTTTCCTCTTTATGTTATGATATAAGTATTTGGCATTATAACGTTAAACTAATTAGATATGCTCGCTTTGTTAAGGCGAGAGAAAGATAGTGGTGTAGTTCCATAACTTATTCGACTGTGTATGATGCATATATAGCCTATCAAGTTAATCACCTTATTGAAACACTGCCTTCCGTATACATTTCATAATAATAGTCTTAATCATCTTCAACTTCATCAGCAATGTTAATTTAATTTGTTTCTCTTGTACTAGGCCTACATCGAATGAGCCAGTTGTGTATTTAAAATGCTATTTTTTAAATGTGTTTGATGAAGTGTTTGTCGTTTTTTCAGTCTTCTTTATAATTAAAATTATCATATCATTGTCATTATTTTGAAAATAGAATCCAATTTCCGGAATCACGCGTACTTTCTACTCTTTCTGGGTAACTTACCTACTCATCTGTTTATCTACGGCAACTGGAAAGGAACATAACATCGAAGTAGGATTTGAGTTAACCCTTTAGTTTGAATATACATGACATCATCTGGGAGGTGATACAGCATTATAATATGAATTGAATCAACCTTCATCCCTAATAGATTATTATCACATGGGTCGTCACTTTGTTAGAAAAAGTGTTGGGGATCATTTCTCCAGATTTAACATCAGCATAGCAGAAGTCAAAAGATGTCCCTCCCTTGGGTGTTGAGCACATGCCTGAAAAAACAATGCATAGACCTAAATACAGGAATAAATACTGGAATAAATACATACCGAAATAAAAAAACTGTAGAGCCCCCTGAGACAATTTGTGATATTGGGCTAATTAAATAATATTTGATTTACTTTGATTGATGTATTTGGCACAGGAAGTAAACTTAACTTCAGAGCCCTCAATAGCCAGATATAAATGTTTATTAGCGTCAAAAATTGTGTTGATATTAAAGATTTTGCTACTACCTAAAACTCAGTAACAGGAGTGTAGAGGATTGGATTTCTAACAGGTTTGAGATTTTATATTTTGAAGCTCTTCTCCACTATAGCAGTGAGATAACGTACACATTTAACAAGCAGCACAATACACACTAGGATAAATTAACATGATAACTGCATGGCTGGGATTGAACCCACCACCTTCTGACTCACAACAACTCCTCCTCTCAGCCACAGCCAAATGATGAACTGTTGTTCAGAAATGACGGAATCATAACCGGAATGTCCCAATCAGTGGTGTAGTGGGACATGTGGCAGGTGTACAGGTTTTACAGGTTCCTGTTGTAACTTTCTTCTCGTGAATGATATTCTTTTTAGAAAATAAGTCAAGTAACGTTGTTTTGCCTGCCATTATAGAGCTGTTTCGTTTTCGTTTAAATACACACTTGCAACTGCACTGACAATGATTTTATATTTATTAGACTATTAAAAAATAAATAATAATATAATACATAAAACAATTTAAAAAACGACCTTGTAAAAATATATGAAGAAATGTTATATTACATGTTGTTTTTAATGTGGTTAATGCAGGAAGTCGGAATGCAGATCAGTGAGAGACCGTGGGTTCAACTCCCTTGGTGGTGGTCCGAGTTTAGTAAGGAGGAATTCTTTTTAAAACATGTTTTTAAGTACAGTGCCAGCGCCCTGTGCAGCGGGAGCAATGCACGTTTTTACATTTTCTATAAAAAGTTGACTAACATGTCCAAATTGCACATCTTGACACTAAACCAGTGTTCATGTTTATTACATTTCTTTGTGCCCGCTATTTTTTCAGTAAATGTATAAGTTATACTTTGAAAAAGTGGTGGGGGCAAAATTGGCCATTTCAAAAAGTGGTGGGGACATGTCACCAGCGCAAATGATGCCTATGATTATCACAGACCAAAGGTAACACTTTTCCTTTTAAACATCTAGTTAAACTGTTCAGGCTAATTATGGTATTCTCCTGTAATCACAGGCAGTGGAACGGTGACGTCATCTCGCTTATTGAGCGTTTCTAAGCTTTTTTCTCTCTTTTTAATCTTTCCCATCAGATTAAACAGCAAACGGCTGAATACATAATGTGCATACAATTGCGAGGAGGCTCGTTTTAAGGACACAATCTTCGTATTGGAACAAACTTCAGTTTTTAATGTACCACTCTGTTATGTTCCTCCTTCCTACAGAACAGACAATGAAAGGATAAGATGTCATTTGTCAGTATAGTCCTATTTCTTAAAACATTCTCTGTTGTTTAAGTGTCTGATACTTGATAACCCCGAATAGTAAGCAATAACAGTAATGATATAACATATATGATAATGTCAGACACTGTGTTATTTTCAATCAAGCCTAAAAGATAATTTGTTCAAACTGGCTTCACTCGCTTTAATTGCTCCTTTGAATGCATGCTCAATAAGTGAGATGACGTCACCGTTGCGCGTCCCCGCGAACAGGGCTTCAATCTGCGGCAAGCATACGGCACAACACCGGCATTACCTGTTGTGTACAGGTAAATCAGCCATTGCAGCTAAAACAGCCTACAATAACACTGGGTGTATACCGTTGTGGCTTTCAAAATAAAACAGACAGTACAAATATAGTGTTTGAGATAAAAGCGTACAATCGGTCAGTTGTTGTGTAGCAAAGCACACCCATTATGTAGAACATCTGTGGAGTTGGCACACAACATGTAGTTAAAAATGGATGTATTTTTAAGTAATATTTCCTATTTTATTTCAAAGAGGGTTTTATTTTGAAACTTGTGAAGGTGAGTCTCTTTGATTCTGCATGTCTTGACACTTTTACTGTTTCCCCACCCATAAAACTCTTGAACTCTACACACACCTTGTCTTTAGGTGGGTCAATGGACAGAGGAGAAGTTTGGACCTATGGCGTCCACCCCCCCAAAAGGTTTGATGTATTGTTATTGTTTTACTATTATACTTTTTTAGTTATCTACCTAGTTTGAGTGTGGGCTTAAAAACATTATGCAGAGTGTCCTTATTAAAACAACGTACAACAAGCATTTCAGGAAAAAAGCTAATGATCCAAACTGTGTGTTAATGTTTTGTAGAGGTATTTCTATGAAAGATATAACCTAGCCTATTTACACAAAACAAACACCAGAAGAAAAGTCTTCTCACATTGGACTGTGAAGGGTGTGTCATTGGATTTTTTTCTGAATTAGTTGTCAATTTGCTAGATTGATGGCAAAGGGCACCACAAAGTAATCAATATGCAGTTAGGATTTCATGGAGTTATTCCCTTATGTTTGATTTCTACCTCTATGTTTAATCTGGCTGTCGATTTAAGGAAGTTGGACAACAAGGAAGTGCAGCCAGCATGCTCAAAATAATAGGTTGCTCAAGCTGAATTTTTAGGATTCTTAATAACACAAGAGATTTAAATAATTGATGTTTATCTTTAATCCTGTCATCCTTTACTGTGTAGCTCCAGCTGGAGCAGGCGCTGCAGGTGTGCAGTGGCCAGAGCCCGCAGCTCACGGGTGTTTGCAGCCGCTCCCTGAGGTGCCAGAGCCTGCAGACCTGGGAAAGGTAGACGGAACCAAGAGTAAACCTGGACTCCCCGAAGGAGAAGGAGATGGACAGGTGAGCAGGAGAGGTGTTTGGAAAAACAGAACAATCATTTGAATAATTAATGCATGGACTGAAATTTCAATTAGCTTTATTATCCATTCGTTTTAATAAGTTATAATTTCATGATGCATTGACAGTTACATTAATAGATTAAGTGTTACTGTATTGCTCGCATCATTGCTTATGTATTACCATTCCCACTAGTCTAAATATCCTTAATCTTATCTCTACTTTCTCCCTTTTTGTCTGTCACATAAAGAGGTTCTCACTCGACAGCTCTCTGTCATCCTCGGACAGCGAGGATGAGGGTATCGGCAAGAAAAAGAAGAAGCTGAAGAAGAAGAAGAAGAAAGTATGTGTCTCAAAAGCTCATTTTCACCACTGACCAAACCATGTTCAACCTATACTTTCCAGGAAGATCTGGAATTATTCAGTTTAATACACTGAGTATTTTCTTGAAAATATCTGTCAAGTACTGCTGGAAGTTGGCCAGAATTTGTTAGGACTCTGCTGGCAAACATACTCTCCTTATGTCTTATTACATCAAACCATATCCTGAAGACATTGATTTAATCAATTTGGGGCCTTGCCTTATTCGTAAGCTACACAAAAAACATTAATTTTGACTTCTGACATACTGTAAAGAGAAAAGTACAAATTGGACTGCACCTACAGCCGAACCGGAGAGCAACTAGGATGGGGATTCATTTGTTTATAATGCAGATCAACTGTCATTTTTGCATAACTAGAATGGGTGTGTGCGTGCAACTGTGTGTCTTATTGGAAAAACGCCTTTGTCGTTTTGAATGTGTTGCTAAGTGCTTAAAGAGCCCCTCCCTTCTGCTGCAGGAAAAACCGCCTTGCTAACAGAGCGCTGCTTCAATTGTTCAAGTGTTTGTAGTGACTCATTCATTTACATTCTCATTTATCACTTTTACTAACGGAGAAATGTACAAATAATCATGTTCAATGTTTACACAGAGTTGAGCAATAACTTCCCTGCCTTTTTTTCAACAGGATTCCAGCTCGTCCTCTTCATCTTCCTCTTCCTCCTCCAGTAGCTCTTCAGACAGTGACAGTGACAGTGACAGTGAGGTAAGAAGTGTTTATGGCATAAGTGCTGATCAAGGATTACATGGATGTAAAGAATAATATTGCCTCATCATGCAATTTATGCGTAGCTTTCACATGCCACACACTTGTTTTTAGTATTCTTCCTGTTTATATTTCCACATTTCCTTTAAACGAGACTGCAGAAGTGATGGTTTTAGAGCAGTGGTTCTCAACTGGTCAGGCCTCGGGACCCACTTTTTCCTTAGTCAATAGATCGCGACCCGAAATTTTGAACCACTCAAATCTATTCAACAAAAAATCCTGCAGTAATATATACTCTTTGCAGCATACAATATTAATTAAAGTGAAGTACAGTGCATATATCCCTTATATCCCTTCACAGAACAAAAGAATGCTTTTATATAAGGTTTAATTAGATGATGGAATCAAAGCTGAACTGTATAACATAAAAAGGCACACGTGCTGAAAACCTAACCCCAGAAGGGGGGTCTGGGGGGATTCTCCCCTAGGAGATTTTTTGAAATACTAACATATAAACTACCCATTCTGGTACACTCTGAGAAGAAAATAAATAAATGTATTACGACATATTAATAATATTTTATGCCATTGTTTGTTTTTCACTTTGTTCTGACAGCTGAACTTGCTGCTCCACACAGAGAGAAGAGCAAAGAGGAGATAGTCTGTGTGAAATAGTTTACATTGTGGGTAAGGGTAGATAGCTCCCATTGTTCTGTGACCTGTCAATTATCAAACCGGGGTCATATTTCATTATGTGTTCATTTTTATCTGAAGTTGTACCCATGGATGTATAAAGAATAGTTCTACCACAAAGTTATTCTCCGTGGGGACTTCCGGCTACAATCTTGATTCTGATAAAAGGCCAGAAGACTCGAAAAAACATCAGCAAAGATGTTTTATTGAGAAGATGATCACTACGTGACAGAAGTTTTCAAAACCGTTTATGGTCTCCGGTACTTTCAGTCCAACGCCTGCACATGCACAGCGTTAGAAAATCGGGCCTTCAAAATAAAAGTTTGACTTTTTCCCCCCCAACTTTTGTCCCTTCAATTTTTTTTTTTCCCACTCACACATCTGCGACCCACTCGAAACGGGTCCGCGACCCACTTTTGGGTCGCGACCCACCAGTTGAGAACCACTGTTTTAGAGTGCAGTTTATGTATATCCTTCACATACATTCCTGCAGCGTTACTAAATGAAGTCCCTGGTCACGAGCAAAAACTATTTCAGCTCATACAGTTGATAGTCTCTTCTAAGTATGTCACTGCCTCAGGCGAGGGTGTTGTTGAAACCATGAGTCTGTAATACTGTATATAGAGAATACAGACTCATGATATTCTCCATTCCTGTTCATGTGTCTTCTCGCAATTATTACTGGCCCCGTGCATCTCCTAATCGATATAACCGGCCTGCTCTCGTCTATCCCACATGCTCGACTGAAATCCAACATCTAGTTACAGGTGGCCTGTGGAACTGCCAGTCAGCTGTTCCTAAGGCTGACTTCATTTCTGGCTACGCTTCCTTGCCGTCTCTGGATTTCCTTGCTCTCACTGAGACCTGGATTACACCATCCAACACATCCACACCAGCAGCTCTCTCCACAGCATATTCCTTCTCCCATACACCCAGACCCACTGGCAGAGGAGGTGGCACTGGTTATCCTGCTCTCTCCCAAATGGAGCTTTTCAAGTTACCTAACTTCACTCCTTCCACCTTTGAATTCCATGCCGTTACTGTAACCCATCCTATACAATTAACCATTGTTGTTCTCTACCGTCCACCAGGCGCCTTGGGGGACTTCTTGGAGGACTTCTTGGATGAATTAGATAATCTCCTCTCACACATCCCTGAAACTGGCCCTCCCACTGTACTTCTCAGAGACTTCAACCTCCAGACAGAGAATATATCTGAATTAACATTTCTTTTAACCGCCTTTGCTTTCTCACTGTCTCCTTCCCCACCAACTCATAAAGCTGGCAATGTCCTTGATCTCATATTCTCAAGGAACTGCACCACTTCTAACCTATCTGTAAACCCACTAGACACCACGGATTCACTCCTCTTTCTCATCTTCGATCTCTCAGGCAAAAAGCACTTTCTTTCAAGATAAGATCCAATCTTCCTATTCCAATCCCCAAAAACTATTTTCTATCTTCTCCACCCTCCTCCACCCCCCCAGAGCCCCTTCCCCCTCCTCCCTTCTTCCAAGCGACTTTGTTAACTACTTTGAAAAAAGGTTGATGATATTCGCTCTTCCAGACCCACCTTTCACCCACACACTAACCTCCTTTCCCCCTCTCTCTCCAAGTGAGGTTCTTACCCTCATTACCTCTGCCCGTCCTACCACCTGTCCTCTGGACCCTATCCCCTCAAACCTCCTTCAGACTATCACTCCTGATATTCTACCATTTCTCACCCATCTCATCAACCCTTCTCTAACTTCTGGTCACTTTCCAAACAGTCTCAAGGAGGCAAGAGTAAACCCTCTCCTGAAGAAACCCACTCTCAACCTGTCCGATGTTATAAACTACAGGCCTGTCTCTCTCCTCCCATTCCTGTCTAAAACACTTGAATGCACTGTCTTCAAACAACTCTCCTGTTATCTCCATCAGAACAACCTTCTGGATCCGCACCAGTCTGATTTCAAGACAGGTCACTCCACAGAAACTGCCCTCCTCACTGTCTCTGAGGAACTGCACACGGTTAAAGCAGCCTCCCTCTCCTTTGTCATCATACTTTTGGACCTGTCTGCTGCATTCGACACGGTGAACCATCAGATCCTCCATCGCACTCTCCAAGGACTTGCAGTTTCAGGCTCAGCACTTTCCTTCCTCACCTCATACCTCAAAGGCCGCACCTACAGGGTAACTTGAAGAGGGTCAGAGTCCGACCCTTGTCAATTAACTACAGGGGTCCCTCAGGGCTCTGTCCTTGGTCCCCTCCTCTTCTCTCTGTACACAAACTCGCTCGGATCGGTCATTAGCCCGCATGGTTTTTCATACCATTGCTACGCTGCCGACCCCGTTCAGAAACCCAGGTCGTCGCACGCATCTCTGCTTGTCTAGCAGACATTTCTCAGTGGATGTCTGCTCACCACCTCAAGCTCAACCTTGACAACACTGAACTGCTTTTTATTCTGGGAAAAGAGTGTCCCACTCTTGACCTAACAATCAACATTGGCCCCTCTGTTGTTTCCCCGACTCAGACTGCAAGGAATCTGGGTGTGACCCTAGATAGCAAACTGTCCTTCACTGCAAACATAGCTGCCACAACCCGCTGCTGCAGATACACTCTTTACAACATCAGGAGGATACGTCCCCACCTGACCCAGAAAGCGAGGCAAATTCTGGTCCAGGCTCTCGTCATCTCACGCCTAGACTACTGCAACTCCCTCCTGGCTGGTCTACCTGCATGTGCCATCCGATCTCTGCAGCTCATCCAGAATGCAGCAGCTCGTCTGGTCTTCAACCTTCCTACATTTTCCCACACCACGCCGCTCCTCCGCTCACTTCACTGGCTTCCAGTAACTGCTAGAATCCACTTCAAGACACTAGTACTTGCGTACCATGCAGTGAATGGATCTGGCCCTTCCTACATCCAGGACATGGTTAAACCATACACCCCAGCACGTGCACTCTGCTCTGCGTCAGCCAAACGGCTCGCTGCACCCTCGCTGCGAGGGGGACCCAAGTTCCCATCAGCAAAAATACGTGTGTTTGCTATCCTGGCTCCAAAACGGTGGAATGAGCCATTGACATCAGGACAGCAGAAAGCTTACACATCTTCCGACGCAGACTCATCTCTTTCGACTTCACTTCTAGCAATAAAATGACTAACAAAGCACTTATATACTAATAAAGGACTGGCTTATCTAAAGCCAGTTGAGTAGAGAGATTCACTTTTAATTGGACAGGTTATCCAATAAAACCATTAATGCAAAATGTACCTGGAACTAGAATGCAGTTAACCCTGGGCTGTAGACGGAGGCTCTGATTTCCTGGATCTGATAGCTGGCGGTATCTGACAGGAGACGAACACGCCCATTGACAATATGCGGAACAACTTCTGTATCTACCACAGAATGTCCTCACAATACAATCATGTAACCATATAAACTACATAGCTTTATTTTACATGGGAGTGCCAAATATCACGCATGTGTATGTATACAGGCTTAAATGCATGGTTACATATAGTAGTACTGAATGTTAATGCACCCAGTATCTGTGTAATGCACATTATTTCTTATGTGTTGGTTTTGGCTACATGTCCACAGTAGGTGTGGATGTTTGTTATCTACCTGAATTGAAGGCAGAGTATTCTTAATATATAACTAGTGGTAGGTGACACCCTAACCTGACCTAGATGACTCTTATGACTTTATATATATACACTTTGCAAACAAGCTTCAAACATAGTGTATGCCCCTCGCAGGATGACAAGAGGAAGAAGAAAAAGAAGAAGAAGAACAAGGATGACCAGAGAGAGTATGTCTGGGACAGTATTATCCTATGTAAGTGGAATTTGCATTTTCAAACTGGTGTATTTATTCAGATGTTTTTAAATGAAATCTCATTAATATAATACATGTTCAGGCTCTGTACATTCTGCTTTATAAAACCATTTATTCCAAATCATATATTTATATTGTTTGCATTTATTTCATAACTTTAAAGAAAAACATTTCTAACGTGCTCTGCAAAAAAGTTTGCATTGAAACTTTGACATGCACATTCTGATATTAACTATCTTAAGTATTGTCATTTCCAAATTCTTAGAAGTCAACATATATCTAAAAAGTTAAGAAAACCTAATCAGTCTGATTATAAATTAGTTTTGTTTTCTAAAAAACTGAAATGGCATTTCCTTTTTAAATAAAGTTTATTGCATAATATGAACAGCTGTGAGGCAGTTATCTGAATCGACAATATAAATGTATTTTTGCTGACAATGCATGTACATAAAAAAATGTAATTAAACAAATGATTGTTTTTTCTTGTATTAACTTATCTCAGGTCACGATGATCAACTGGAACCCAATAGTGCAGATGGTAGTATGATAAGCGAGGTGAGAGATTTGCTAAAAGAAACTCTCTTTTAACACAAAGGTGGGCTTATAAATGTGTCATTATAGATTGTTTTCCCTTTTTCTGCATCAGGACTTCAACTCATCGGATGACGAGGATGACAAGGAGAAAGACAAGAAGAAAAAGAAGAAGAAGGACAAGAAGAAGAAGAAAAAGAAGAAGAAGGTATTTACAATTGTCCATAAAACAGAATATAAGAATTCATTACCGAAGCTATTTGACTACCAGACGTCATTTAGTCAAAAGTAATGAAAACAAACATTTCAATTTCGACATTTAACCTTCATGTTTTTAAATATTGATTTTGCTTTCCAAGGATTGTTCTTCATCTTCATCTGACAGTTCATCGTCCGACAGCGAGGATGAAAATAAAAAGAAGAAGAAGAAGAAGAAAAAGAAGAAGAAGAAGAAGAAGACGACGAAGGTATGGCTTATTTCATATATACAGTTACAATATGAATATCGTGGGTGTCAGCTGTCTGTATTCCTTATAATAACAATACATTACATTTATAAAGCGCTTTTCCTGGTGCTCAAAGCGCTTACAAGCAAGTAAAACAAAAATAACAACAAAAGTAGAAAGTGCTAAGCTATGTGGAATAAGGGCAAGGGGTTAGTGGATTAGGAGTTGAAGGCAAGATTGAAAAGGTGAGTTTTGAGGGATTGTTTGAATGATGTGAGAGTGTTGGCGGATCTGACGTGGCTGGGGAGGGAGTTCCAGTGAGGGGGGGGGGCTGCAGCGAAGGCCCTGTCACCCCAGGTCCGGAGCTTTTTCCTGATGGGCTGCAGTAGGTTAGCTTCAGCAGACCTGAGGTGACGGGTGGGGTTGTGTCGTTGGATGAGGTCACAGAGGTGGGGGGGGGGGGCAAGGTTGTTGAGGGCTTTGAAAGTGAAAAGTAATATTTTAAAGTCAATGCAGTGTTTGATGGGGAGCCAGTGGAGGTCATGGAGGATAGGGGTGATGTGGTCGGAGCGTCGGGTGGAGGTGAGCAAGCGGGCAGCTGAGTTTTAATATGAATGCAGGTGATCCAAAAAAGTGTGCTGTTGCAGTAATCCAGTCGGGATGTTATAAAGGCATGGATCAGAGTTTCAGCAGCGGTCGATGAGAGGGAGGGTCTGATGCGGGCGATGTTCTTTAAATGGAAGAAAGCGTTTTATGTGTAAATAGAAAGGATCAATACTGACACATACATTTTTTTGTTCTTCGTTTAAAGGACTCCAGCTCCTCTTCTTCAGACAGTTCCTCCTCTTCATCATCCTCCTCTGACAGTGAGGATGACAAAAAGAAAAAGAAGAAGAAAGACAAGAAGAAGAAGAAGAAGAAGAAAAAGAAAGACAAGAAAAAGGTAATGCAACGTGCTGCTACTCTTTACTGAGTAAATCAAGGTTTGGAAGATTCTGCAGGAAGTATACAGCAATATGTTGATGCTGATCAATTGTTTCCTGAATAAATAACGATGTAACAATGTCAAAAACATTGTATGCAAGAATTATAATTTTTTTAATTATAATTTTTTTTAACGACACAGGATTCTAGCTCTTCATCTTCTGACAGCGATACAGATAAGAAAAAGAAGAAGAAGAAGAAGAAGAAGAAGAAGGACAACAAAAAGGTCTTCAGATCAGTGGTGAAACTGCTCATTATGTCAACATTGCCATAAATTAACTCTCAGTATAAGCTGTGTCACATTGTTCTATTTTGTTTCTGCTACCAAGTATGAACATTATCTCCTTTTCTTAGTGCTCACCTGGTGAGCAGCATGTTGTAATCATGAACAAACCAGATTCCCCAACAGTGCACACACCCACTGATAAAATGCGTATATAGCTTTTGTACCTGTCAGGGCATGAAACATACATAGCCCTTGCACGCTTTCGTAACACCTCGAGTTTTTCAAAGATACAGTATGTTCAAATGATACTCCCCTGCAGAGACAAGGAATGGGTGTGTAGGTATGTTTATGATCTGTGATCTATGTTTGTCGTGTGCATGTACAACACATCTCTGCGTAAAGTGCATAGATATATGGTGAAAAACATGCGTTAAAAATCAATACACTTGAGATTGATTGTATTTGTGATTGTCCACAGGATGAAGAGCAAAAGGAGCTCTGCTTTGTTCTTTCAGCAACTGGTGAGTGTTTCCACTTTTTAGTGACTAAAAAAAGAAAGGATAACAAGTCGCACTCGTCATAGTGACTAGACCTGTTCATGGACTTGATGCACTATTGCTTGAATTTCTGCAGACGGTGAGTTTGCAGGACCGTGTGCTGATGGAGATAAGAAGAAAGCTGCGGACAAGGTGAAATACTCACAAATACTCTGCATGCCACACATATTTGCACAATTGAACTACAGTTCATAATCAGCGCCTTCTTTTGTCATGGCAGGCCAAGAAAGAGCCTAAAGCAGCAGGAGAAGACAAACTGTCCGATTCATGTGCAGGTATGGGTGCTATTTAAGCCTTGGTTGGTTCATGTCAACTATTTTGGTTTTGGTTTTACTGATGTTTTCTGTCTCTCAGAGGGAGCAAAAGCATTCCCTGCTTGTATTGAGGATGGCAACATGAGTGATGATGAGGGAGAAGGAGAGAAGGACAAGGAGAAAAAGAAGAAGTTGAAGAAGAAGAAAAAGGTAAATGCACTACGCTGCTTAAAGGAGAATGCATTCAATTCTGGAGGCGTGTGGCACAGTGGGTTAGTGCGTTGGTGTTCGGATCAGGGGAGCACAGGTTCAAACCCCACTGCAGTCAGCATGTCGTTGTGTCCCTGGGCAAGACACTTCACCCCAAATTGCTCCTGTGGGGATTGCCCACAGTATTGAGTATGGATAAAAGCGTCTAATAAGTAACGTAATGTAACTCTACTTCCATTAAAGGGGACCTATCATGCAAAATGCACTTTTGTACGTCTTTTATACATGAATATGTGTCCCCGGTGTGTCAGGGAACTCACCAAGTGTCATAAAACACAACCCTCTCTCTTTTCCTCCATACCCAAATCTCTAAAAACGGGGCTGCAACGGATCTGATACAGATTTGAAATTGTTCTGATGTCAGAAACAAGGAGCTCCGCCTATATGGGCAACTCTCCACCTATCAGGGGAATGAGAGGTTGCCGTGGCATGGTAACAGCATGGTAACATGACGCTCGTGCCTCGCCCCCCTCCTTTGCAGGGGGCGTGGTCAGCTGCAGCTCATTTGCCACAGAATCAGCCCTTGAAAAACAGGGCTGGAATACAGCAAATAGAGCAAAATGAGGCATTGCTAAAATGCATGATATGTTTGGTATTTTGAAAAAAATATATAGGCATGGCCCTACAATATATTATTCAAATATAGCATGATAGGTCCACTTTAAATAAATAAATACATTTTCACTGGTGTTACAGGGCACTATCACCACCATGTTGTTATGAACCGAGACACAGGACGCAGGATCCAAAAACAGGACTCGGAGACAGTTGTCCAAAAATAGAATGTTCTTTAATAACAAAAACTAAATCGTACTTTCAAAAAATAGAAAGTAGTTAAACAGCCAAAACTAAGTTGTACAGCAACACAAAAACTCACTTGGCAAAAGGTCTAAATCGCAAGGTAGGTATCAGGAGTCAAAAGGCCTAGGTGCTCACGACATGAAACATAACGAACTGACAAAGGAACAAAGAAACACCAGGGCTATATATAGGTGAGGGGGATGGGCACAGGTGAAAACAATCAGGGCAGGGCCAAGCAATCTCACGGGCGGGAAACACACAAAGGCAGGAACTGTGGGATCTGGAATGACAGGAAAGATTACTTTCAAAATAAAAACAGGAAGTGACAAGATCAAAACACAAAACTAGAGTAAAACATAACTAAACCAACATATCTGTCGAGTCACAACACATGTATGATGCAACGTTATAGTAGTACTAAAAGGGATTTAAAAAGAACAAAATATATTCTGTGTCTTGCTACAGTGTTCTGGTTCATCTTCAGACAGTGATGATGATGAGAAAGACAAGAAGAAGAAAAAGAAGAAGAAGGAAAAGGTATACAAACAATCTGTAAAAAATGTGTTCATATCCGTTTTTTCAAATCAAAGAAATGAAAAGAGCATATTATGTGTTGCCTATTTGTGATTGAATTTGTGATAATTAGGGCTGTACAATTAATCGTATTTTAATCTCGATTACGACTTTGGCTTGCAACTATTACGAAAACAACGTAATCGAAATAAAACGATTATTATTTAAAAAATAAATAATGTTGTATTGGTTTTTCAGTTGAATTATACTTAAAGTTCAGGGTAATCAACTGTTAAAAACATACTGTTCAAACATTTTTTTTTCAATAAATGGATGTTTTCAAAGTAAATGGATAATCGTTTTTAATAATTATATCAATTATTGACCAAAATAATCGTGGTTATGATTTTTGTCAGCCCTAGTGATAATAATAATGTATTAGTATAAAACAGATGCTAATCAAGGTATTTGTTCCTTGGATATTAATATGAATGCTTGTTTTCGTTTTGATCTATAGGACTCCTCCAGCTCCTCCTCTTCTTCATCATCTGATTGCTCAGACAGCGAAGATGACAAGAAGAAAAAGAAGAAGATGAAGAAGAAGAAGGATAAGGTTTGTGCCTTCACCTCTTCATTTGACCTTTTTTTGTATTTGTGCTATTTAATATTATAACATCTTTCTTTATTCTTTCTCTTTACAGGAGTGCAGCTCTTCCTCCTCCTCTTCATCCTCTGATAGCGAAGGTGACAAAAAGAAGAAGAAGAAAAAGAAGAAGACAAAGAAGAAGAAGGATAAGGTTTGTGATAAAAAAACATTTTTGTAAATTAAGTTACTTGTCTCGTTTATTTTTACTAAGTCATTCTTGACTCTCTCCTGTCCAGGATTCCAGCTCTTCATCCTCCTCTTCTGATAGTGAAGATGAGAAGAAGAAGAAGAAAAAGAAGAAGAAGAAGAAGACCAAGAAGAAGAAAGATAAGGTTTGTGCGTGCCTTCATCTTAGTATAATGCGGGGGCTGTCCGTTCCGTTTTATGGCAGAAACATTGCAACATTTAGTGGTGTCCTGTCCATACTTGCCAACCCTCCCGATTTTCGCGGGAGACTCCCGATTTCATAGCCCTCTCCCGGTTTCCTCCTGGGGTCATATTTCTCCCGCGTTTCTCCCGATTTCTGACAAAATCAGATTTATTCAGGACTGTTTCAACTCGGACTTTAATACAGCTACACCATTGTTTGGTTTCCATAGCGCGTCTCTTTAGTAGCATGCGCAACTGAAAGTCTAAGAGGGTGAGGCAGATAGTCACAGAAAACAGAACAAGAATCGACTCTGCTCACTCCTTTCCTGTAAAATACAGGTCCAGCCCACACATATGCTCCATCAAGGATGGTGCTACAGGCCGCAAGGCAGTGCACTTACCACTACAATAAGCATGTTAATGTTAATCTAATACAGCTCCGGCGATCCACTAACACCCCTCCCCGCGGTGGTTTGGAAATGCCACCGCGGACCAGGTCTCAAGGTTGGCAAGTATGGTCCTGTCCCCGATTGGATGGTCTAAAAAAAACGTTACAGGAGTGGGTGGAAGGGTTGGGGGAGGTTTTCTCCATACCACTTGTTGTCCATGGCCCCAAATACACCCTGAAAAAGAGGGAAACTCTGGTACTGATACATTTCTTGTTTGCTAATGCAAAATTAGCGATCTGGAAAAGTAGAAAGAACCAACTTGCTGGAGTGGGATGGACGGATGCTCTGTCTGAGGGGGCTGGTGGCAGCGCGTCTGAGGGCGGAGCATGCGTACTACACACTGATCAACCATCTGCAGGGGTTTCTGGATGTGTGGGCTGTGGGGCAGGTTCTGTGCTCGCTGGGGGAGAATGACTCTATTATTGAAGTTTTAAAGGATAGGTGTAGTCTTTGTTTTTAAAGTGTGTAAAGGAGGATGTTTTTAAATGGGTAATATGCTTCAAATTATATTTATTTTGTAGTCATGAAAATCTGGTTATTTATTTGATTTTGTAATGTATTAGGTTTTCCGACTCTTTTGCAGGGTTAGGGTGTATAGTTAAAATAAATGCAAATTACATTTGTTAAAAAAAAAATCTTAGTATAATGCTTTTCTTTTATATTGTTGCTGTTTAGTCCTATTATATCATCTTTGTCACTATCTCTTTCTCTTTACAGGATTCCAGCTCTTCCTCCTCCTCTTCTGATAGTGAGGATGACGAGAAGAAGAAGAAGAAGAAGAAGAAAAAGAAGAAGAAGACAAAGAAGAAGAAGGATAAGGTTTGTTCCTGCAACCCTTCCATATATTACATTATTTGTGTAGTGCTGTTTCAATTCAATTCAAATTGAAAGGGGCTTTATTGGCATGAAAGTTAAACGAAACAATGTTGCCAAAGCATCAAAATACAAAATAATTAACAACATTAACATACATTTCAAATTTGTACATATTATTGATATATATATACAGTGATACAATTACACTTCAACACGTGTGTGTGAGTGTTTCTTTGGGTGCGTGATTTTGTGTGTGTGTCTCATTCACTGTCCCTCAGCTTGTGGCATGTGTATACATATTGGGCAGCAAGATGTGCCTTGTCTATTTTCAATCTTGAGAGGTCATTAACCTCCTTGAAACCTGGGATTACAGAGTTCAACTTGTTACAGTAAATGTCCCTTATTTCTTTGAATGTTTGGCACTTTAGGAGGAAGTGCATCTCTGTCTCAGTCTCACCTGTCGTACAGTGACCACATATTCTGTTTTCTTTTGGTTGCCAGGATCTTTTGTGTCTTCCTGTTTCGATTGCCAGTTTGTGGTCACTGAGCCTGTACTTGGTTTCATCTCAGAGTGGCCTTTTATTGTGGCCAGCCTAAGGCACACCTGTGCAATAATCATGCTGTCTAATCAGCATCTTGATATGCCACACCTGTGAGGTGGGATGGATTATCTCGGCAAAGGAGAAGTGCTCACAGATTTTTTCAGATTTGTGAACAATATTTGAGAGAAATGGTTATTTTGTGTATATAGAAAATGTTTTAGATCTTTGAGTTCATCTCATGAAAAATGGGAGCAAAAACAAAAGTGTTGCGTTTATATTTTTGTTCAGTGTATGATTCTCTGCTGTCTCTATCGCTTTACAGGATGCCGGCTCTTGCTCCTCTTCTTCTGATAGTGAGGATGACAAGAAGAAGAAGAAGAAGAAAAAGATGAAGACAAAGAAGAAGAAGGATAAGGTTTGTACCGTAAACACCTCTTGTATATGACAGTGTTGCACGTGTGATGTTATTATTTCATCCCTCCGCTCTCTGTTTTTCACAGGATTCCAGCTGTTCCTCTGATAGTGAAGAGGACAAGAAGACAAAGAAGAAAAAGAAGAAGAAGGTAACACACGTGAAAGCTTGTATACCTTTACTGGTTGTTGTTTTAATAGAATAACGTGATACTTCTGATGCTCATAACGTGAGATTTATTGCACAAAGATGCCCTTCTGTGACTGATTGCCTGACTTTGCCATTTCTAGAAGTCCTGCTCTTCGGAAGATAGCTCCTCCTCTTCCTCTGATAGTGATGATGACAAGGTGAGATGACGTTATGTTCGCTACTATGTGTAGGTGTTAGTCTGTGGCATAACTGTAATGATGCACTGAAATATTGTACAAGTCTATCTAAACGGAAAGTATTATTTAAGAGCCAAATCATGAATGGTGAGGAACAGGACCTGTAATATCCCATTTGTTATTTCTTGTAATTGTAAAAGTAATTTCTTTCTGATTGTTTTGTAAAAAACAAAAAACAAATTAACAAGACAAACATGTCACTGTTGACGACGACCTAATATTTTTTATTTATAAGGAACATGTATGCTAGAGGGGGTAAATGGTAAATGGACTGTACTTATATAGCGCTTTATCCAGTCTTTACGACCCCTCAAAGCGCTTTACATACTACATGTCATTCACCCATTCACACCCATTCATACAGAGCAGTACCACTTGCTCTAGGACCTAACATTCACACACCGTTGGCCATGCCATCGGGAGCAACTCAGGGTTAAGTATCTTGCCCAAGGATACATCGACATGTTGGCTGCACGGGCTGGGATCGAACCCACAATCTTCTGGTTGAAAGACGACCGCACTCCCTCGCAGCCACAGTCGCCCTAACTTCTTCTTGCCCTTGTTGAACATGACAGAGACTATTTGAGAATCTATTTTTATTTTTAAAAACATTTTTGTACTTTGTTATAATTATTATTATTATGAGTGAGAAAAAAAGAATATATTATTATTATTGTTGTATGTTTTGTTTCTGACATGTTCCATAAATTGACAAAAAAAAACAACCCAAGTTTACAAAGATAAAACTCATCATTAGTGCCTTTTGTAACTTTAGAAGAAAAAGACCAAGAAAGTTAAGAAAAAGAAGAAGAAAAAGGACAAGAAGAAGAAGAAGGTGAGAACGTCTCCAGCTTTGTTTTTAAACTCTAGGTTTTTGGTTGAAAAAAGGAGATACAACGTTTGGTTTTGGACCATTCTTAATATTCATGATCTTTGGTTAATTTTGGAGATTGACAGGTGATTACTACTGTATGAATATAATGCGTTTCTTTTTCGGTCCAGGATTCTTCTTCTGAGTCCTCAAGCGATTCTTCTAGCGATGATGATAAGAAGAAAAAGAAGAAGAAGAAGAAGAAGAAGAAGAAGAAGAAGAAGAAGAAGAAAAAGGTGAAGCTAATGTAGCCATCTGCTTAGTATATTTGTAAGTCCAATTCCCTAATGGAAATGAACTTGGTTTCTCTCATCCGAGAAGAAAAACAGTAGAATAGTAACACAATTGCCATATTTACATTTATCAAGGACTCCGATTCTTCTAGCAGTGATGACGACAAGAAGAAGAAGGAAAAGAAGAAGGACAAAAATAAGGTAATTCAGTAATAAGTAAAAACAGTAAACAAACATGATGAGTGTTTTTTCACATTGAGTTGCCTTTGTGTCTGAAATGTGCAATATAAATAAACTAACCTTCACATTTGAGCAGGACTCCAGATCATCTGATAGTTCCTGCGGCAGTGACAAGGAAAATAAAAAGGACATGAAGGACAAGAAGAAAAAGGTGAATTATTACTCATGAAATGGGAATATCAACGGACAGTGTTTAATCTGAAAATGAAATTACTGATGTATTTCCTGTTTGACCTTCAGAGGTCAGGATCATCCGGAAGTGAAAATGAAAAGAGGGTGAGTTTGCTTCTCATATAAACCATGTAAAAACCAGTGGCGAACCGTGTCTATCACAACTGGACCTTCTGTAGACACACACACACCCCTTTTTTTAACAGAAGGCCGTTGCTAGAAGCTGCAGCTAGACTGCAGAAGTATTGGTTTTTTGTTTTTGAGGATGGAACAATTTCACACACAGATATAGGGAGGCTAGACCTATACAATTGAATTATAATTTCATGTCAAGACGAAGAAGAAGATGAAAAAGATGGCTGAACTGTTCAGTGTCAATCCTGTGGAGATGGAGATGGAGGTTATAAAGTCTCAGCAAAACTCACAACATTTCTGGAGCCTTGTAGACCCAGAGAACTATAAGAACATTCACCAAGCAGCACTGAACACGTCTGTTTTATTTGGTTCTGTTCTACAGACCTTTGTGAAGCAGCTTTTTCTGGCATGAATGAAATCTAAATACAGAACAAGACTGACTGATCAACATTTAAATGACTCTATTAGAGTGAACCTAAGTGGGTACACTCCAGCATACACCTCTATGGTGGACTCCATGCAGCGCCATTCATCTCACTAACTGTAAAAAAGAGTGAATGCACTTATTTGACCATAAGTGCACGATGCTTGTAAGGTGGTGATTAAGGACATGTATGTGAATTTTCAGTGACTTACTTACTATGTGGGCCATAATAATATGTGAGACATTTTCGTTTTCTTGGACCTTGATGTGAAGTTAAGATTTGTGATAAGCTTTAGGTATTGCAATTTCGTACGTGTACAAAAGTATAGTTTAATTCAACTGATGAGTGCTATGTGAATAAATGTACAGTAAGCGATGTGATGCAAGTAGCTCTTGGCCACTTTCATTTTTTCAAAGTAGCTCTCAGATGAAGAAAGGTTGGAGACCTCTGATCTAGATCCTCTGTCTCGAGCCAGTTAACTAGCGGGCCTTCTAGAGTACCCTGGAACCGAGGGAAACTCTGAAAGAATACGCCCATTGGCTACAAATCAATATATGATTGGTTGATCAAACTGTCAGTCTAAACGTACGCTCTCATTCAGTGCAACGGCCAGGGCATTCTATCAAGGATGTAGAATACCTTGGTTGAAGGATATTCTACCCAGAGACCCAGAACAAGATCTGATTGGTTGCTTTCTTTTCTAACACAAAACCACTGAAATGCGTAGTGCATGCTCCGAGAAGGACAAACAAATCAACGTAACACTGTAATGTTACAGATCAACAACACAGATACGATTCACATTTATACATTTTATATACATTTGATTACATTTTATTTATACAATTAAATCGATTTTTTGTTTGTTTTATCTGAGTGTTCCAGGGTATTCTCTGAATACCTTGAAGGCCCTGACGGTTCGCCACTGGTAAAAACATGATGGGCATTACACACTTTCATCATAATTAGGTTCACACATACAAGGAATTTGCTTTGGTGTATAATGATGCATTCATGAACATCACAGGTAGAATTATGTTGTAAAAAAGAAACAAATATATAAATAAAATGATATACATATATAAAGAAATGTTTACAAGATATATAAATATGCTAACAAAGTAAGTACAGTAATTATATGAGAAAAATGTACAGTATATCAACATTTAAAGTGGCAGAGCTGTGCAGTTATAAATGAATTGGCCTTTTAGCAAAAATTTACAAAATATACAGAGGAAAGGGAATGTACTAGGGCTGTGCGATTATGGCAAAAATCATAATCACGATTATTTGGGTCAATAATTGATATCACGATTATTTTGACGATTATTCATTGACCATTTATTGAACTTTAAAACAAATAATATTTGACCAATAAACAAGATCAACAAATATGTTGGAGCGCATTTCCAAAACCATACTAAACATATATTATTAATATGATAAATAAAAATAAATTAGACCAAAATAAATGAAATCAAACATGTTGCAGTGCACTGTCACAACCTACTGAAAACTCCTTAACATATAGCCAACATTTTGGTAAAACATATTCAACATATTCCACTCAGTTAAACGTTGAAGGCTGGCCAACCGTCATGGTCCAGAAGTAACAGGAAATAAATGTTGAACTACAATTTAAGACCAAATAAAAATGTTTAGGCCACCATGGCAAATGCTGGTAGGGCTGCTCATGTCATCTCTTAAAGATTGTTCGCAAGAAACACCAGCCTGTTTACATGGTCTGGTTTCAGAGATGAGCGCAGGCAGGTGACGATATTGCCACCTGTACTGAAGACCCTCAGCCACATGGGGTGACGCCGGCCAATCACAAAGCTTTGATGCGTTCAAGTGCATTATTCTGGCACAGGAAGATTATGTTACAGGACATTAACGATAAAACAGAATATTGTTGTTCTATTTTTAGACACATCTCGCGATCGACTGGTTGGGCACCCCTGGGCTAGACCATAGGTCTGTTGTGGTCGCAAAGTAGTCAGCTGAAGCCACATCTCTCTCAACTTCCCCACGGCATTTGTCATATAGCGCAGGCAGCGCAGCCGCAGACCTGCTGAAATAATACCGAGACGGCATCGCGTAACGCTTGTCCAACGTGTTGACAAGTTGCTTAAAGCCCTGGTTGCTAACAGTGCTAACTGGGCACATATCTTTAGCGATGTGAAATGTAATGGCACCTGTAATATCTCTGTGTCTCTGCGAGCTCGTCGCGTAGGCCGTTGCTCTGTACAATGCGTCCTGAATCGATGACTGTGATGATGTGGTGGATGAAGTCGAGCGGGCATCTGCTTTTTGTTGTATTACTGCCCGGTCGTATTGCACTTTGTGGTTGTATTTCAGCTGATTAAAGAGATTGGTTGTGTTAGCGTGTGGTGCCAACACAACCTGGTAACAAATCCTGCACTGTACTTTGTTTTGCTCCACGTCGGACTCCTGAAAGCCAAAGTACTTCCAAATAGTGGAAATAGTTTTACCCTTCTTTTTAACGAGTTGCTGCTCTTGTTCTGACATCTTCGCTCGCGCTGAACACTCACAACACATGTCACTCCCACGTGGCCGAGTGGGCTTTTAGGGAGGGGCGAAAGCGCACCCAGCAAAAATAATCGTATTTTGTCAATTATGCTGTTTTCATAATCGTCGCAAACCATAATCGTAATCGCGATTAAAATGCGATTAATTGCACAGCCCTAGAATGTACAGTATGGAATAGGAGTGATGGCTCACATGATGTTAATGTAGAGCTTAGTGTATATAGGAGGGGTTAGGAGGCTGTGTCAGCGGGGTCCCGGGCCTTATAGGTGAGTAAGTAATAATTGAGTCAAGCTATTTCCTCAGGACGAAAAAAAAGGCACAATGAACCATTTACTCCCAGTTGAGTCCCCTTCTTCTGAATGAGCCCTATTTTCTATATACAATGCCCTTCATGTTGTGATGTTGATTCATTCCAGGAAAGCCCTCATGGTGAGGTAACCGGCGAGCCAAAAATGGATGCTTCTGGCTCCGGTGGGGGCAGACTTTCAGGTCCCAGCGGCAGCTTCTGCAAGCCAGCCGGCGCTCGTGTTGCTCCTGGTGTTGCTCCTGGTGTTGCTCCTGGTGTTGCTCCTGGTGTTGCTCCTGGTTTTGCTCCTGGTGGGGCTCCTGCTCCTCTTCCTGGTGCTCATGCCGTCTCCTACGTGTCTCTCCCATCCAAACCCCTTGTGAAGCTGGATCCAAGTCTCTCAGCGGCCTCCAAGCCCTCTTTCTCTGTCTCCTCCCTGAGTCCCGGGGATAGGTTTCGCAGACCTCCCAGCCCCATGGAGGCTCTGATGGGGAGCCCAAGGAGGTCCGGAGATACTGGGACCCATTCCACCTCCCACCTCACCTCGAGTGACATATTGAAAGGCCCCAGGCCTTACCAGCGATGAGATGTCATAGACCGAATAAGATGTTACTGACACAGCTTACATGACCCTTGAGGATGTTTTTGCTCTAATGATACCCTGATTTTATGCAAGAAACTGTTCAACTTGAGGAAGATAATTACCCTATGAAAACAATTATAATGAAAAAGTATGAATAGTTCTTAATTAGCTTTTTTAATTGGTAAGACTACGCATATTTGTGGCAGAATCGTCATTTTATAATCACATGAAATTATTCAAAAACCTTGCTGTGTTGAATAAAAAAAGCATCATTTTATTTGTTTTGTTTGCTGTTTACTTTTATTATGTTGCCTTCAAATCCCAGGGTCTGCAGATGCAAAGCAAGAACTAAGATGATGGTCACTGTGGCTGTTTAGTGGCTTTGGATATTGACATTTATATTGGGCTGGAGCATCTGAATGAAGAGGGAAATGGGAAAAAATAGGGGGTGCTTCCTCGAACATTTTCAATATTTTGGTCCAGGAAGTGGTGTCATAGAACTTTCAAATACTGAGCTGGTAACAATATGACATACACAATATTCTATGTTCTCTAACATATGTTTATATAGTAAGATAATCCTACATTGGATCACAAAAGTACATCCTGTCCCCCAATTGTAAAGGCTTGTAAAGGCTTTTAACCTATTATTTGCAGACGTACAGTATAGTTAAAACTGGTGCAATCTTTAAGACAACAATCCCATAATATTCTACATTTTAGATTCAATTATTTGTGAAATTCAAATCAGAGACATGGTCAATTAAATGCGAAATGAATGGTTTGATGTTTATGATAAAGTTATAACTTAAAAAAGGGTTATGTCACTTTTAAAAGAACAACAAATCTTTTAAAGTAACATTTCTATGCAATCAAACACAACCTCAACCAGTTTAATGGACTTTAATGCAGGTATGTTGTTGCTGTATATGACATGTACTTTCCACTTGTATCCACCCTTCAATAAAAGTTAAACAATCTTGCTGTGCAGGTTTATGGTTGGTGTTATATAGTCAGTTTCTGAATGAGTTATCTCCACCTGCACTTGAAAGCAGCTCCTGTCGTAATGTGGCTGGGGGCGTGTTTTGGTCACGTGATTCAGGCGCGGTCTATCCAGTGTCCTGTTTGTGAGACAAGCAGCCGGTGAAGGCGTCTTGTTAGGAAAAGCACAGCAACAAAATGTCTTTCGATCTGGCGTCAGGTAGGCACAGATTTATGTTAATTCAAATGCATTTCACAGTCTGTATAAGCTAACATGAACAGGAACAGGTCTTTTTTAGCACGCTTTACACCCGACAGCCTAATTGATATCCAAAATGTGCAACCTGATGTTAGACAGTCAAGGTGTAGTCAATTTGATTTAAGTAGATGTAAGATTACAACTGCTCTCAGATTGTGTTTGACTTTCCCTCTTTTGCATGTGTGCAGCTTTAGGTGGGGGGGAAGAGGACGTGAAGAAGGAGGAAGCTCAGAAGGATGAGATTAAGTTGCCCTGGAAGAAGGACAAGGATAAGGTATAGGAACTTTGCATGTTTACATTCTAGCAAATATACACACATATGATCCAGATATAATGTACACAATATTGCCAAATAAGTATAGGTAGCCTATAATTATTTGTCAATTAAGGTTGATTTTAGATGTTTGCTTTCTCTGATAAATCTCCTTCATGTGCTGCCAGCTCACTGCAGCCATTCAAACCCAGTTCTCACTTTGCATTGATGTATATCATTATTGAAATGAAGCACACTTCTTAACAATAAATCAACACAATGATTATCTAAAGTCAACTTTTGCCATTTGTAGGGAGACTGCAAGGACAAGTCCGACTCAACACACAAGTCTGACAAAGATCACAAGTCTGACAAAGATCACAAGTCTGATAAAGATCACACTTCCGACAAAGACGACAAGTCTCACAAATCCCATAAATCTGACAATAAGCACAAGTCTCACAAAAAGCACAAGGACAAGCACGATAAAGACCACAAGAAGAAGGACAAGAAGAAGGAAAGGAAGGAGGGAAGTTCATCAAGCTCCTCGTCTTCATCCTCCAGCAGTGATGAAGAGGTAGGCCTATTGTTGCAGTTATTTGTTTTAGTTGGGTGAAAAAGTTCCCACGACTCACTTCCATAGTTTGTTGTTCTTAAGACTCTTTTATTTGCAAAACGGGATAAAAAGCAGCTGAGCAGGAAGCATACCTGTCACACCTCATCTCAAAGGTCAGCGTGCGTAGATAATGGTCTGAAATAACACTGGTGGAACATGTCTCACAGACAGCGACAGATTTAATCAGATGTGAGGCACCACACCCTCCTGTGTGTGTGTGTGCAGTTTTTATTTAAAGCTCACGTTGTAAGTAAACACCTTCAAGATCAGCAGATTTGTTTTTAGCTTATTAGCCAAACTTGACTTTCTCATCACCTTTGGGCTAAAGTTGTTTAACTTTGTCAAAGCTTTATTAAGGAAATGCCATGTTTGGCACATTTATATGAATGAATGACGAAGAAAGAACCAAGCCCAGGATGGGAGAGAAGGCAAACAGGTCAGATAGTAGAGTAATAAAACAGGTGTGTTGTCCAATTACCTCCATGAAAGAGAACACACTGCCTCACACCTTGTGTCCTTTCTGTCTAACACCCTAGAAAACAATTCAGTGAATGTATTTTAGCTAGCAGTGGGCCACTTCAGCCAAAATAAATGAAAGGGCTCGGAGTAGTTGTGCAATTACACGATTAAGATGGATGGACTTTTATTAATCCCTCGTGGGGAAATTGTTTCTCTGCATTTGACCCATCCTAGTGTTAGGAGCAGTGTGCTGCCATTTTGAACGGCGCCCGGGGAGCAGTGTGGGGAACGGTGCCTTGCTCAGGGACACATCGGTAGCACTTGGTCTTGCCGGGACTTGAACTGGTGACCTTCCAGTTGCCAAGCCAAGTCCCAATCAACTTCGCCACCACCGCCCCATTAAAGGGGATTAAAGGGGATTAAAGGCTGCAAATCAATCCCTCCAGTCTGTTTCTTTTCCCTTGAAAGTTCTGTGTCCTTAAGCTCAAAAGGCTTTTCATTCAGGTGCACTCTGCTGGAAGAGCTTCATGGAGCCTTGTTTCAAGTGAACAAGTACAGTATGTACTGATGGGAACTAGGGAACAGGGCGAAGGTGTGAAGTTAGGGGGAAAAGGTCTGGAAACATGTTTTATAATGTAGGTATATTTTAACTACTGGGTATTTGAAGGGGTATATATTTCAACACAATGAGGATAGGTTAACTCCAGACAAAACAGCAGTCTTGGTAGGAACATGTCTTTATTACTGTTAAGGAGTAACGTTAGTACAAGTTTTAATGATATGTTTATTTTTACAGTAAATGCCAGCTGATCTGAAACCCAGGATTGTTCATCCAACAGCTAAGGTAAGTGATGATTGTATTCCCTGTCATAATATACTTGTCATATTTAATTATGACATGACTAGTGATTGTATACAGCTCATCTACCTCTCACAACAAAACTAACTTCAATCATCTTCAACCTGTATCCAAAAAATGAAATGTCCTAAATCCAAAAATAAATGATCAATTGTGGACCTTTTTAATATTTGGGACTTTCAGAGATGTTCACTCAGGTAATGTTATGATAATGACCTGGTAGTGGGAAATATATTCAGCATGTATTCAGTTATCACATTGTTACCCTCTCATCCCATACATTTACATGTTGTTCCCTTGAACTTACGTGTATGTTTTGGTTCGTACTACACCATAAGGACATGCTGTAAAGTGTTTGCTCATTCTGCGGAAACATCGTTGTCCTTTTTGTCATTTCAGGATTGATGCTCCCTGAGGGACTGGACCTCTGTCAGTCTCTTGTGATCTGAACTAAATGAATGTGTGTCTTAAAGTGTGCAGCAGTGCCAACCTTCCTTTGTGTCCTTTCATTGATGTCACTGAAACATGCTGGTGTTGTGTAAACTAATCTGCTAATTGATTGAAGTAAATGTTTTAACAGAAAAAAGGCTTGTTTTCTTGTTTGTTTTTCCCTTCCAGTTCTTCTGGTCAGTAAAGTGCATTTTTATTCACCACAAGGTGGCAGTGTTAAATAAAATATGATACTTTTAAAGTTCAAATACATTGAAGCAGTTTTATTTTCATGATTTATACTTTAGGATTAAAAAATATGGACAATTAGTTTTTTTGTCATTGCATTAATTTAGTATAAATTCCCAAATAGATACATTAATTTGTTCTTATCAAAAGAACCATTACATGAAATGTCATTTTAAAAAGTGGAGCATACGTCAGTGCATTTCAGACACAAACGGAGCCTTGTGGTGTCTCAGTAATCTTGCTGTAGATCTTGTTTTGTCTCATGTGCTGTGTTGTATAATGATTGATCGTTTTCCATTTCTAGAATGAAACAAAATGGTCAGTTATATTGTGTTACAATTATCTTTATATGTCTGGTTACTAAATGTATTAAAGGGGACCTATCATGCAAAATGCACTTTGTGATGTCTTTTATACATACATATGTGTCCCCGGTGCGTCGGGGAACTCACGCAGCGTCAGAAAATATGATATGATATGACGTAATATCTGAAATGTGGACCCACGGCACTATCAGAAAATTGCTATCAGAAACAATGCCCAACTGTTTTGGACGTAATATGGTCGGTGTTTACATTAGCATCGCTAACACTCAGAGCTAACCTGTACTGGAGAGCATGTGTGTGAAGAAGCAGGAAATCAAAAGTAACTCACCTTGTGGTATAACCGGCAAGAGAGAAAGCCTTTGAGCTCCATACTGTTTCAGACATAATCCTTGATAATCCATGATATGGCGTTTCATCACCGCAGTATTTAGTTTAGACAGTAGCTGCCGGGTCCCGCATGAGCTCAGCCCCCTCCTTTTTTATTTGTTATCAATTTTTTTTTTTTTTTAAAGCTCTATACCCAAAATCAGCACTTTTGAAACAGGAAGTGAAATAGAGGGATATGAGGCATGGCTAGAATGGGTCATCTGTTTGGTATTTTAAGCAAAACACTTCATAGAAATGTTTTTATATATTTGTATATATCTGAGACCTATGCTATTGCCTAAAAATAGCGTGATAGGTGACCTTTAAGAGAAGTACATTTCATTCAATTTATTTTTCTGTGGATGTGGAGGGCACTTTTTATAGTTTGCAAATTAAAGTACCGGTGGGGTTTGTTTTAGCCTTCGAGTAAGCACCTATTTAAGTTATTGAAAATAGACTTTCTTAAAGGTAAAACATTTGTTGTACTCCTAAAATTGGTTACCAAGCTCTTTGTTGAGCTAAGTTACATGTAAGCTAAATGCAGTAGTATTTTTTGTAATGTTTGATATGTTAATTGCACTCAGGTGCCATTGCCCACGGTTATTAAGGGTTTTTCAAAGATGCTGATTTGTATTCCAATGTGATTAAAGGTGTGGTGCTGCATGAAACTAATCTGTCCTCAGATGACGAGACAGTTTCCTCGGGTGAACTGTAAAAACGAATCGGAGATAATCATACGTATGACATGAAAAACAAGATGCTCTGCTCTCTAACACTGGTTTTCCTTGTTGGATGACTAAAGTACGCACTGTTGCTCATAATTATTTCTTGGAATAACAAGTAACAAATAAATGCTGCTGTAGTCACACCCTTCTACCCAGGGTGCACCTCTTATCGCGAGCAACATACAACAACACTATGTTAGTAAGACAAACTACTATACAAAATAGTTAGCATTGTTAACTTTCAAATAATTATTTTGGATTTATTGGTATAATTATTGGTATAATTTATTTAAAATAAATGATACCAATGTTGCCAAGTGGAAGTACATTTCCAAAAGAACTGCTCTTACAGGAAGTGCAATCTTGAATTACTTGTTCTGTACTGTCTTTGTTCTTACACATGCAAAAAGAAGGTTGAAACTATTTGTTGTTTTTAAAAACGGATGAAATAATCTAACTACAATGGCAGATTTATTTATCACCAACCAAGAACTTTTAGTACTCAATAACTTTTCAATAAAAATGCTATTTAAAAGTAATGCAAAGGGGATAAAACGTCCATGTCATGTATAAAAACACTCGTAAAAAAGCACAGAGGGACAATAACAGAGGGAGCAGTGTTAGGGGGTGTGGTGAGGTTAGGTTGTGTGGTTCGAGTGGTTTATAAGATTACCTTTTGTGAGTCTGTGGTCACTTGTTTGAGGAAGCGCACAAACAGGAGTCACCATGGATTGCCCAGGTAGGATTAACATTTACTTTCATTGATTTTAGAAGGATTGCTTTGAATGTTAATGCGTGTGTCTTTCAACGGGCAATTTTAGGACAGGATTTGCTTCTGACATTATTACTAATTACTCAATGTATGTTTGAAAAACATAATTCTATTTGTAGATGCAAGAGCTCAGATTAATACACACACTCACACCTAACTAATACTTAACCATCTTTTCATCCGTACAGGTTCTCAGAAGAAGAGCAAGGTAAGAGTCTTTGTTAAGTGTTGTAGTCTTCTACTCTGTGTTTTTAGCTGTTTTACAGCAAGTTTTATATTATTTTCCTTTATCTGCAGCCTTTCACTCAATTCATTCATTCTCATTAAAAGAATCAAACTATCCTCGAGACTAAACCAACACAATCAATTACTTATTAAAAGTGACCTTTTGCCATTTTTTAGGATGGCAAGGATAAATGTGGAAGCAAGGACAAGTCAAAGGAGAAGCGCAGCAAAGGTGGCAAGAAAGAAAAGAAGGACAAGGTCAAGAAGGAGGGGAAGAAATCAGGCGACTCCTCGTCTTCATCCTCCAGCAGCAGTGACGAGGTAGGTCCAATGTTAGACTTTATACATTGTTTACAGATTTGCTTATTAAGCATGGCCTTTCTCTGTTTAATCACCCCTCAGTGCTCAGTTCATGAAAGTGTTCCCATGTTGCACTTCTGTTCTCAATAATTGTGAAAAGGCAAAATGCAGCTCAGTGTGTAAAAAAAACGGTCCCACCTTATTCCAAAGGTTGAAGTGCGTAGAACAAACACAACAGGTCGTACCAGCAGTGAGCACGTTCATCAGCTGTGACACCACACCCTCATGATTGTGTGCTACTTTTTATTTATAGCTTATACTTAAATCAAGTTAAGACCTTCCAGATCTGCAGATTAATTTTAAGCGCACTGACTTGCAGCCAAACTGCTACTGTCTGACACCTTTGGGCTAAATACATTTCACTAAGCTTTATTCAGGAAGCAGATCATGTTGGTCACATTAATATTAGGCTTTCCATGCAAATGATTAAAGCAAAAGAGGAACAAACCAAGCCTAGGGTGGAAAGGAAAAACCGGTCAGATAGGGACGTTAGGGTTGTTATTTTTAACCACATCAATGAAAGTGAACATGCTGCTGCCACACCTTAACATTCCTGCTACACAAATGAAAGTCATTGTGGTTGCTGCTATATGACTCAGGCTGCTGCCACAAAGATTCATACATGAAAGATATAGCATTGGCTGTGGCACCTAAGATGTTATTGAATAAATCATGTATCCTTTCTGCAGTAACAGCATTGTCCTTCTGTCATTTCAGGAGTGATGCGTCCTGAGGGACCCGACTGCTCTCTCCGTCTCTCTTGTTGAAACAACTGTACTTCCTGTTCTTTCCTCGCTGTCCTAGAAACCTACTGGTGTTGTGTAAACAAATGTGTTGATTCCTAGAAGTAA